AGGTGAGCAACGAATGTTCTGGTCTGGAATTGGGATTTAGTTCGAGTTTGGGTTTAGGACTTCTGCCTTGCCGGCTCCACTCCATTTCCATTGTCCGTTCTCTGCTGCAGATCAAACCGGAATAACCCCTAATGAAAACAACGCAACACGGACTACAACAATTGTTACCGAATCGATTAAAGGGGGAGTGAGATCTCACAGACACACTCTCAATGCAACGGTGGTGGTTAGAAAATTAGAATCTTAAAACTTGATTAAATTTCACACTTTTACTGTTGTTAGGGGAACAGTTTTGGAAACTATTATGCAAATGAATTATACACGTTGTTGGGTAAATAAAGATTAGTCACCGAATTCCTTTGAGATTCCACAAAAATAAAGTTCAAGTTGGCGTTGCCGATAAGAAACTTCGATAAGAATAACCTTAATATAAACTTTTTATTTACTAATTTTTTTATATATTTTTTGTACAATATCCAAAGGAGTTTAAACATTTCAATATTTTGTTCATATTTTACAAAATTAATTATAATTCCGACAAATGCCCTTAAACACACAACCATTAGTGTACGGTGCATGTCTAACTGGCGGATAGCAGCCGCATATCCGTCGCCGCCATATTAGACATTCGGGAGGCAAAATAATTTATGCCCAGCCTGCGTCTGACCCCCTTTCTGGCCACCGTAATGACCCCCACAAACTGCTCAGTTCGGCAGGATTCAGTTCAGACATTGGCACTGGCAACCGGCAGTGGAAATTCCGGGCTGGGATGATACATGGACAGCATCGGAAATTGGTCGATTAGTTGGGGGAAATATTTCAAATGTGCTACAACAATAAACGAAATGAAGCCGGCAATTTCCAGAGAAGTGTTGGTTAACGAAATAAAGTCATAAAATAGTAGTGCCTACATTTATGTATCGTTATTAAATATTTATTTTTATTATTTTATTAAAAAATTTGAGTTAATTAACAATCTTGTTTTACTAATTTTTCTGATAAGTCTACCATAAAAAAAAGGAATCTTCTCCCAAAGAAAAGCTATTCCATTTTATTGCCTACTGTTCGGCGCCTGTGAGTGAGTAAGTTTTTCATTCTCCCAAGGGAAATTGACTTTGCCACGAGGCTTCATCTTCTGACTAGCTCGCTCGAATTCGCATTCGCATTTCCATTGTTATTGGCGCTAATTCCGACGTGCTCCAAAAACAATTTCCTGAGAGCGCACTCGCGAATGTCGTCGTCGTCGTTTTCCACATCGTCTTTTGGCCACTTCGACTCGCCCCGATTTTTTAATAGATAGATACACATCGCAGCCAGCGGCGCGATTAACCCCCAAAAAGAAGTGTCAACTTTTAACTCAACCGCCAAATGGCCAACCCCAAGAATTCGTTATGAATTTCGTTATAATTTTATTATATAGCTTTCAAGTCTTTTAAGTGCTAACACGGCTTACAAAGAGAATTCAAAATGAGCAATAATTATAGTCAATTATGAGTATGAAATGTTAAATAAAATATTTTATTTCTTCCACATTATTTAGTATACTAAAATAAATTAGAAATCTAAAAACACAGAAACACCAAAATAGTTGTCAATTTAGGAAGAAATAATAAACGCAGTGTCATGGAAATTACCCAGAATCTTATGTTAAAAATAAATTTACTTGGCAACCGTCATTATTAACCCTGCAAAGAAAGTGTCAACCTCCACAAAAAGAAAGAAAAGAAAGCAAACCACAAGGATTCGTGTAATTTGCTTCACAAGTCTCGACGCAAGATGAGAAAACTTTCCCAACGTTCCCAGAAATCAAAGCAATTTCATTAGGGAAAAGCGGAAAAACCAAAAGTGCGAGTGGCACAGAAGTACTGAGAAGCAACCGAGAGGGGAGAGTTAATAGCTCGATGCGTTGCTTTGGCAACTTTTGCCAGCTTTTTGCTGATTTTTACTGTTTGGAGAAAAAGCGGTCGAGACCCTTTTGTGTGCCAAGATTAATGATGTGACTCGAGGATGACGATGTTTGGCATTACGCGAAGGAAGGACCCTGCTGCCTCCTGCTCCTGCCTCCTGCTATATGCTAATCAAATTTTCATTCCCCAGCATTGTTCTTGGCCCTGCTTTGGCACTCGTAAATCATTGCATAAAAGCGAAAAAGCCAAGAGCAATTAGGCGCAACAAAGCAACAATTGCACTGATAACAACTCGAGTTCACCAGTTGAGAGAAATTGCTGGAACATTATCGGGAGAGAGAACTAAACGAGAAAACGAGTAGTGCGTCGCTCCCACAACTCTCTGTTGATAAGCAAAAATAAAATTTATAACGAGTGTAATACCCCCGCGAGCACGAGGAATAAGTTCTAATAAAGCTCTATATAACACCAACATTAGCACTTTTTAACAAATATATAAATGACTTTGCATATATACTATGCAATGCCGATGAGTCATTAACAGAACTTTACGCTGGTTCAACATTTCTAATAGTGATTATAATAGAAGATGTAGTAACTTATTTTCCCATTTATTCATCTTTGCATTTAACCTATCTACAATATTATGAATTCTAAAACTATTCATTTGTAAATTATCCAACATCTACTGTATGTACACTTGAATGGAAGGCAACAAGTTAGCGCTTATCAGTTAGTTAATCCCACATAAACAAGCCAACATTACGAAATGTCATAAAAAAAATGTTCCTATACAATCTGAACAATAACCTTGATAAGGTCTCGTTTATTTATTGATTAATAAATAATGCTGGACAAAACTGTCGCCGCAATACAATTAAACATTGTGAAAATTTAAATAGGCGACGATTCTAATGGCGCCTAATGGCCCAGAAAATCGATTTCACCTCAAACAGAGCCTAATGACTCTTTGTCACGCGTCAACGCGAAGAAGACAGCGCGAAAATCGAAGCAATAACAACAAATCGAATCAGATTGGCTGCAACGCCTACTCCAAATGGATTCCAAGGGTAAATTCCTCGGCTTCGCTTTCTAAATCGAGTTTAAATCCGAATTCCCCAGCGATTTTTCCTCCGGGCCAATAATAATAACAATCAATCAGCCGGTATATGGAAAACATTTCCAGTGTAAACATTACCAACACGTCTTTGTATAACTCCGCTAACCCTCGTATCGCATGTAAACAGTGTAAATATCGATAACATTCTCAGTACTGGGGGAAACAGGGTCAGTTTAGATTAGGAAATTGCAGCGATTCGGGGAGCACTTTAGTTAAAAGTAATAGTAAGGAAAACTGTCTTTGCTGTCTCTTTAAATGTATTAAAATATTTGAGATACTGTAGATAAACGTTTATTTTTAAATCATTTCCAAACAACAACTTCTTAAGACAACAAATAACAAACACAAGCTGATCTCATTAGGTATTAATAATTTAGGTTAGCAGGCTTGTTACATTTAGTAAAAGTAGAAACGGAAGTCATTAGCGAATATCATAGATCATATTCAATATAGTTAAACTGCCGTAAACCGGTTATCATCAGCCACAAATGCCAATCACGCGAAATTCTACACACCAATTAAATTAACATGGCTAAAATGCAGGGTTTAGTTCTATGATTTTGTTATTTTGGTGTAGTTTGTGGCAATACCCTGCAATTGTTGTAAATGCAGTTGCAATAGAATTGCCACGCTTATTCATTCAGTTTGCTGGCACGTTTTGCATTACACACGACAACCCTGACCTACAAAGTGGCAAATAATAAAAAACTCAAGCAAACGCCGTCGTAGTTGCTTTGCGTCGAAAATTGTTTTTACTGTTTGGCTGGCGCTTGAGCAGAGTTTACATTGAATGTTATAAATAAATTAAAGGAACACAGCGTGGGAGGGTGTTTGCTAGTGTGCGTGTGTGCGAGGGGCCGGACAGTCTGAGTTTTTAAGCGATGCACGACTTGCATTCAACATTCATCGCTAATTGCAGTTGATAAGTGGACAGCATTCCTCAACGCCAAGCACCTAGCTAGCTAAAGCCTTAGCCCATTATTATTTCAGCAGCATTGCAGTGAAAATTGTAGCTTAAGGGTTGGCAAGTACAGGTATCTCTTCTTTGAGACGCCAATACCTTGCAAAAAACAAAGATAGTTTATAAAGAATACAAATAGTATGCAATTTTTGAAAATAAATTAATAATTCTACCTGTCAAACAATAAGTATTTAACTTTCCTCTTGATGTGTATGTATAAATAAGTTAGTGATCATATTAATTTCGTCGAGATAGTAAATGAAAAACGAAACTATAAAAATTTTAAGAGCTTATATGTTTAAGAGATTCCTCGTTAAGACAAAAATATTCCTGATAAGTTTAGGAAATTAACAACCTAATATTCAAGCGTCTGCTTTTTACTATGTAATTATTCGGCCATAATATTTATTGCCCTGGCGAAAAAAAAACAAACAAACCGAAGTTGGTGAATTTTTGGTTTTTATGGTTTTTGGCTGCTTTCTTCCCAGACACAGCAACACACACACAGAAATATAAGCAAAAAGGTTATATGAACCACATTTACATCTGCTTAAGACAGTGATGGATACTTTCTCTTTTCCCCGCTCGAGTGATGAAACTCGTGTTAAAAATAGAATTGCGAGCGAGTGAAGAGCGATGAAAATAGTTGGCTCTTTTATTCATATTTTGTGATTTAGTCTTTCTGCTTTTCATATTCAAAAATATTAATTGTGATAGTTTTTGTCACTGTACAATGGCCGAATTGTTGGATTGTTGGAGATGTTTACAAAGTTCAAGTGTTTGGGAGCAGCTGCGCAGCCAGCGTTTTGAGAGAGCGCGTTTATTTTTAGCCCGAAAGAGCAGCGAGAGCGAAGCAGCGAGAAGAGAACATGCGCAAAGTGCATTTTCAAAATCAAAATCGGATGCTGCACGTTCTCGCTCTCGCTCTCCCCCTCTCACAAAAAAAAGTCGGCGTGATTACGAGTATAATTTTTTCTTTTCATCATAGTTTTTTTTATTATTATTTTCTCACCTGGTCGATCCAATGACTGTCTGCGACTCATTGGCAAAAGATTTGTGCTGCTTGTGTTGTGTGGTGTTCTTTTTTAAGGAGGGTTTTAGAGACAAATTATGCCAAATTTGATTGCTTCATTGGTTAATTTGTTGTTGTTGCTGATATATGGTTCCTTTTTGCTATTGCTTTTGACTATTTCCTTTTGCCGCGCTGCTTCTTACTCAATTCTATACACTCAACACACACACACGCGGACATTTTTCGAATTTCATTTCACACGCGACTGTTGACTTTCTTTTTGCCCCCCTCTCTTTTTCTCTCTTTCTTCCTTTTCCTCACTCTCTGAGAACACGACAGATGATGTTGTTGTTGGGGGCCTTTTTGATTTGAGGTGTTGCTACTTCTGCCTTTTGCTGCAATTTGTGACGTGCTTTAGTGATTTGTTTGTAGCTGGCTAGTGTTTTTAAAAACGCTTTTTTGACACACCACACACACACACGGTAGCAGCCAGCATACACAAACACACGCACATACACACATTCACGCTCGCGCGTCACGTCAATGAACGCAGCAGCACGTAGTTGTTGTTTTCGTCACTGATTCTCGCTTTTTACGCACATTTTGCTGGCTAGTCGAAGCACTCGATCGACAACTGCTCATCCGAGCCTTGTTTATTTACATTGCACTTTATGCGATTTTCTAAAATTTTATTCTTTTTCCGAGCGCCGCCGCCGCAAACAAAGGGAAAAAAACGGGAAATGGTGAATGCTGAGGCTGGAACAAAAACCGATGTTCAGACGATAGTATCGATGGTACTTAGGGCATTTTTTGTGCGCAGGCGCGGTCACACTGGGTCTATTTTTTAGCTTTGTTGGTATTAACAATGCTCATTTAAAATCAAATTTTAAATAAATTTAATATATTCTAGAAATAAACATTTTTATTGAACAATCAAAACAGTTTCGGAATAAAAATTGATTGTTTTGGAAAGCATAGGGTTGCCACCAGAGTGCACAGCACTATGTTATGGTGGTAAATAAACAACGGACCAGACGCACAACAACCGAGCTTGTGTTTATTCATGTTTGTTTATTTCAACTTTAAGTTTTCAATTTTAATTTGGCATGTACTCATTGCATAATTTAACTAAATGCTTTTATAAATCACGCACTGATATGGTATGTTTTGAAATGTGAGACAGAACAATCACGAAAGTTTGACAACCCTAAAACAATACAAAAACATTCGCTGGCGCAGACATTGGGTCGGGACGTGCGCTAGAGCGAGATGGATGCTTAATCATCCTCCGTCTCACTCGCTCACGAAGAGGTAGAGAAGAAAAAAACCAAAACGAAATTGGTATACTAGTCAGTTACTCTATGAAACCATTCATTTACATGAAATTATATTTTATTATGAATAATCTATTATATTTAACGATCGCGAAGCTGGGAGACGTTCCCCAATTGTTCGTTTATTAAAGCATTCCGCAAATTTCCCGCACTTTTGCTGCCCGTGGTTTTTTTATCGACTGCTTGGAATCGATAGGTCGATAGACCGCTACGAAGTCTTAAAGGCCTGTTTAGCTGGGCATCCGCTACAAAATATCAAAACTGCAAAATCAAACATGATTTATAAACTTATAAAAAAGTCTTTAGTTTCTGTAGTGTTTTTAAGGTTTTTGTCTTATAAATAATTTTTGATTATATGTTCAATAACCTCTTCTCATCCCCTCTTCTTCAGCATGAACAACACTGGTCGATAGACAACTCTTCTTATATCGATACATGTATATATCGCCTAATTACAAAAAATAAATATAAATGAAGTGAAGCGGACGCAGCAACAAAAACAAAGAGATTGCTACGATCAAAATGCTACGGGTAAGTGACCTGATCTGGGAGAACGTTTACATTGTTCTTTATGTATATATATCTTTCTATGCTACAGGCAATCGGGAAACGGGATAGGGATATCTTCGAAGAGGTTTGGCCGGACAAAAGGCGGATAGTTTTGAAGCTTCTGCGTCAGGATACGGTGTCGCAACGCGAATGGCAGGACCTGTTCTTCGGCGTCCACTTCGTGTGCCTCTGGGACGAGAAGGGCGCGGCCAAGATCTACGACTGTTTACAGCAAGACATCGTCGAGTTCATCGTCCAGGCCCAAAGCCAAGTGCAAGCCCAACGAGGCGAACAGGCCCTCCTGGCCACCTATATCGTGGAGTGGCGCAAGTTCTTCACACAGTCCAACTACCTGCCGCTGCCCTTTCGCCAACTAGAGCAGTCGCCTCAGGTGAAGCCATCGTCCAGTGGTAGCAGTTCGTCCGCATCTGTTTCTGCTTCGGGCGCAAGTACGAGTGCCGCGGCGGCAGCAGCAGCCTCTTCTTGTAGCGGCGGGGCTGGGAAGTCAGGGGGCACTACCTCATCCGCCGCTGGGGCCTCTACTTCCGCCGCTGCTGCCGCATCCACATCTGCCTCCACAAGCTCAGCAGCTGCAGCTGCAGCCGCTTCCGGTAGCGGGAGCACCAGTAGCAGCACATCTACCTCCAAGAAAAATCCCACGGAGGACAGTCCTGTACGTAAACTTATGCTGGACTCGTGGAACAAACACATTTTCCACGACATTAAGCACCGCCTGCAGGAGTCGGCCATGAAGATTGTACATGCCGAACGGAATGGCGATGCCTATGATGCCCAGCTGGTGGTGGGTGTACGCGAGAGCTATGTGAATCTCTCCTCGAACGCCGAGGACAAGCTTGAGATATACAGGGATAACTTTGAGATGGCATACCTTAAGGCCACTGCTGAATTCTATCGCCTGAAATCCGCAGAGCAGCAGCAGGAGAACGGAGTGCTGGCCTATATGAAATACGCTGACTCTAAGTTGAGAGAAGAAGAGGTGAGGGCCAAGCGGTATTTGGAGCCCAGTAGCTTTAGCATACTCACATACACGTTGGTGAAGGTCCTTATAGTGGATCATCTGAACTCGATTATAGCCGAGTGTCCAGCTTTGATCAGGGATTATGAAACGGAGCGCTTAAATCTCATGTTCCGCCTGATGGATCGTGTGCTGCATGGCGTAGGGGTAGAGGCCATGATGGGTGACCTACAACGGCATATCATGTCTGCCGGGCTAGCCGATATGCTGTCTGCATCGGAGGTGATCACACAGGATTCGGAGAAGTACGTAGAGCGGCTGCTTGAGCTGTTCAACAAGTTCAGCGATCTGGTGCGCAATGCTTTCAACGATGATCCCCGCTTCCTCACTGCCCGCGACATCGCCTTCAAGACGGTGGTCAACGACACCAGCGTGTTCAAGATGGAGCTGCCCACGAGTATCGCTAATCGAGGTGTGAAATACACGGCGCCGGAAAGCAAATGCCCGGAACTGTTGGCTAACTATTGCGACATGCTGCTGCGACGGACGCCGCTCAGTAAACGTCTCACCAGCGAGCAAATTGACGCCCGCCTCCGCGATGTCCTGTTAGTCCTGAAATATGTCAACAACAAGGACGTTTTCATGCGCTATCACAAGGTTCACTTAACAAGGCGGTAAGTTTATTCCTTGACGTAAAATAAACCACAACTTCATTTTTCCCTTACAATTATAGCTTGATTCTGGGGACCAGTGCTGACAGCGAAAAGGAAGAAGACATTGTCGAATGGCTACGCGAGGTAGGCATGCCCGCGGACTATGTAAATCGGCTGGCACGCATGTTCCAGGACATTAAGGTGAGATCTTTTAGGCGACTTCTCTTTGTTAGTTTACTCATAGCCCTCTTATATTTTCAGGTCAGTGAAGATCTGAATACTCAGTTCCGCACTTCAATAAGTCGGCACGATGCTATCAACATTAAAATACTCAACGCGGGAGCTTGGGCCCGCTGCTCAGAGCGTGTATCAGTATCACTGCCCATCGAGCTGGAGGACTATATTCCCGATGTGGAGGAGTTCTACAAAAAAAAGCATTCCGGTCGTAAGCTGCAGTGGTACCATCACATGAGCAACGGCACTATTACTTTTGTGAATAACTTTGGGCGTTACGATTTGGATGTGACCACCTTCCAGATGGCCGTTTTGTTTGCCTGGAATCAGCGCCAACACGACAAGATCTCATATGAGAATCTTCGCCTGGCCACAGAATTGCCTGGTAAGGGTTATTTTATAAATCAGATTATGGTTTTTATATCACTAATTTGTTTCCCTTAAAGATCCTGAGCTAAGACGAACTCTGTGGTCCCTTGTGGCGTTCCCCAAGATTAAAAAACAGATCCTGCTCATGGAGCCGGCAGCTATCAGTTCCCCCAAGGACTTTGCCGAAAACACGATGTTCTATATCAATCAAGAGTTTGCCATTGTCAAAAATGGCAAGTCCCAGAGGCGTGGGAAGGTAAGTACATCATTATTAACATTTGGGAGATCTGCAATCTGATTTTATTTCCACAGCTTAACCTAATAGGACGTTTGCAGTTGAGCACGGAACGCTCGCAGCAAGAGGACAATCAGTCCATTGTGCAGTTGCGTATCCTGCGCACACAAGAAGCCATTATCAAAATAATGAAAGTGCGCAAGCGGATGAATAACGCAGCGCTACAGGTTAGTGATTAAATTTCTAAGAAGGCCATTCCAGAGAAACTAAAGGAAAATTCTTTACACAGGGTGAACTCATTGATATACTGAAGAACATGTTCCTGCCGTCCAAGAAGATGATCAAGGAGCAGCTGGAGTGGCTCATCGAGAACAAGTACATGAGGCGAGACGACGATGACATCAACATGTTCATCTACGTGGCCTAAGCAGCTGCTCCTAATTCCGGATCTAGTCTCAGTCCCGTCTATGCAATCATTCCCATTTCCATTCCCTCACACGCTACTCAAAAATATCGCTGCAGCGATTTTAATCTCAACGCCGACGTGCTCAAAGCACGCGCCCTATTTCTGTCTGTGGAATTGGATAATTGTATTATATGGAAACGTGATTCGCTACTGACATTGCGTCCTCAGAGCATTTAAAAGACCCACATCTCAATCTGCATCCGCTTCACGAATCCACGCTCTGTATTCATATCTGTATTCGTATTTGTGAAAGTTTGTATTTTTATATATTGGCCCACTGGCTGCTCCGGCGTAGCTCTAGGTATTATGTTTTGTGCGGTATTTGCACCCTGGAAATTCCACGCTCATGCCCACACCCTGCCCCCGAGTAATATCGATCGATAGCGTTAATCTAATCAACCTGCTGTTTTCTATGTGTGTAGTTTTCCCTTGTTTGTTTCCGTTGCCTGGTCCTCTGTTGATTCTTGGGTATTTTGCAATGTTCTATGTGAGACTCACACACCCACAAAGGGATTGAAACCTCCTGAAGGTTGAGCGGTAGCCAATTCTTCGCCTCCGGTCACTCCCAGCATGGAATGCCTAATCACACACAAACACTCACACACACACGCGATCGTAAAACTACAACTAAAATAGCAATACTTTAAGTTTAAGCTAATGAATAAACTTGGTTCTACACATAATGAAAGCGAATCGCTTGCACTTTTCATTTACTTCAAGGTTTTTTATGAAAACACCACCACTTCTCATTGTACCATAATGCTTATTTTCTTTATTTAACTTAAATTTTTAAGGGCGGAAGTTAGGTTCTACGTTTTTAAGCTTCAGTAAAAACTTAAATAATCTGGACATAATTATAGGCATTTCCTTGAAACAAACTTAATTTATTAATATCTTCAAGCAAGTCAAAACATACCGAATACCGAGACAAGAATTCCACAATTGTGACATATAAGAAACACAATAAAATATCAGTAAACTGTTGACTTAACAAATAGCTTAAATAGACAAAAACTGAGGGACATTCACTTAGCTAAATATATGCGACATTTTAAAAAGACGTATAAATAAAAAGGAACCCTATCCTATGCTAGCTGGCACTACCATCTATGCTATGACTTATGATCCTATAGCTAAAATACTATTGAAGCGAGCATGTTTCAGCAAATCTCTTCCACTGCCCTAGAAGGATTGGGACATGAACTTGTCGATCTATCTTCGCTTCCGTCCCTTCTTGTAGCCCTTACCATACCATCCTGCTTGGGTGCGCGCCAGCTTTCGGGGGAAACTCGTGCTCAGCTGTTGTCTTCGCTTTGCCGTCTCCGCCGCTGCGATGTGTGCCAATGATATATTCTCGTCGTAGTCATCATCGTCATCGGACGTTGGACAGCACTCGCAGACCACGAACCGACCACTCCTGGCTCGTTTCTTATGCTTGCGTTGACTGAGGTTCCAGCGTCGATAGAATTGGCATTCGAGCTCTGCATACCGATCAAAGCAAAAGTCACAACTGGCGGCAGATCGGTTCATCGCAAAGTTGGGCACCACCTGCGAGTTCCAAATGTTGAGGTCCGCTGGCGGTGGTATCAATATGCTGTGGAGGCCAGAGTACGCATACTTGGCATCGTACCAGGAGGGCAGTTGGCGGAGCAACTCTTCATTGTTGTTCTGCTTTAACAGATCCACTTGGGCCAGCTCGCTTTCCTCCTCCTCCTCTCCTTCGTTCTCATTCTCTGTCGTGGAGTCACCATCCACATCGCTCTGGTTCTGTGTGTTGAGCGATTGATGGGTAGGTGGCTGTACAATCTTGGGCTCTACAAAGGGAGTGGACAATGGCGCTCCAATGGGCACCAGTGGTGGCAGCTGAAGTGGCTCTAATCTCAGCTCAATTGGGAGAGCGGCCAAGCTTTCCACGTGAGTTTTTTGTATGGCGACTAGTTTTGGCAGTTCCATGAACCCATTGTTCACTGGATCCTCGGTGTCTTCTTTAAGAGAAAGTGGTTCGAGTTTGGGCAGCAGCTCCAAAAGCTGAAGCTCTTGCTTAAAAATGGTGTCCTGGCTTTCTTTTTCTTCTAGTTTCACTTCAGTCTCAATTTTAATAGATAACTCTTTTAGCTGCGGGCTGGAGTCTATCTCCGTTTTAACCTCCCCATTTGTATCAATTTGTTCTACCTTAATCTCGTCATCCTGTCCATTAAGCAGCTTGAATTTTTGGCGCAACTCCAGGTTAGTCTTAATTCTTCTTCCATTCTTGATGGGAGTGCGTATGCGGGGACCCTTTCCGATTGGCAGGTCGATGCAGTTATAGCTATAACTTTCACTGGAAATGGTCGAGTCCTGCGTTTCTTCAGTGGTGGTGGTAAAAGCCTCCTCCTCGTCTGCATTCTTTAGCAAGGGTTGAGTAAGCGTGTGCAGTTCTTCGGGCATAAGAAGCGACGCATGTGCAAAAATGGGATCCTTTTCCTTGGTGTAAACGGGAACTGGAATGTGGAGTAGGTGCATCAACTGGGCCATCACCCGATCGCATTTGCCATTGATTTTGATGCTGGCAATTCCATCTTTGGGTGTCCACTGCAGGTTGACGACACAGATCTTAGCACGCTGGCGGGCAGGTCGGTCCATCTGCCACAGCCATGTATACTTCTTGAGGACCTTGAGACTGGAGCCTAGGCAAAGGATCACATCCGCGCGTTGCGCATGCGCCGTGGCTCCCGCCCAATTCAGCGGCCACTTTACATTCCCTCGCTCTCCGAAGTGAACAATGGTGTCGTACAGAGGTTCCGAGCAGCGATGGCATAGACGGTGGGTCTTGTGGCAGTAGCGGGCGGTCATCTCTGTAGTATCAAACTGGCGCCAGTAAACGCTGTTTGGGCGGCAGTTCTTGCAAATCTCCACATACATGTTTCCATGGATTTCGGACAACGAATGCCTTGGTAATCCCGATCGCAAGTGCAGGCCATCGCAGTTCTGGGAGACTACATGATGGAGCAATCTCCGACGATGTAGTTCGTAAAGTGCCATGTGTGTATAGGTAGGATTCGCGCTGGATAAGTCATGTTCCCCGATATCCTGGCCTTTCTGTAGTAGCGTCCATATGCCTTGGCTACCACGATAATCCGGAATCAGAGCGGCTGTACTTATACCAGCTCCCGTATAGCAAACTAGGTGCTTCGCTTGAGATATAATGTTGGCCAACTGTTCCACCTTTGCCTCAATGACATGAGGAGCATCCTCACGCTCCACCACTCGCTCTTTATAGATTTCTACGCGTTCCTTGCGCTTCTTGGTCGCCTTCACCATGTCCGGATGCTTATCCAGGAACTGTTTATCTTCCGTCGACCGCAGTGAGTCGCACTTTCGCAATATCATCGATACCTGAAATAGATTTTCAATAGAATCTTAGTTTACCATTCGTAATAACATTAAAGTACTATTGTGATAGGGTAATGTTAAAGCGATTTAAATGGTAGCAAATTATTTGTCAGATCAAGGGTGCTATTTAAAGACAATAGGAAATAATAATAATAAGAAAACCTAATTTGAATATGCTCTGCAAGGGTATAATCACACGCACACACACACACAGGCGCACTAATTACCCTTCGCATGGCATCCTTGCGTCTCCGCTTCTCATTATCCTTCTTGGCAGGATTCATCTTAGCCCGCGTTATATAAGATTGCGCCACGTCCATCTCCTGCTTGGGCTCCATTTCCATGCTCTGCTCCTCCTCCTTTTCCTTGTCCAGATCCTGCTCCATGATCCGGCACAATTCGAAATTGTGCGGGGGGGGACCCTCAGTAAAAGTGCGCCGCAGCCAGGAACGGGGAAATCTTGATGTGGGTGGTATCCTCTGCAGAATATCGGCTTACATTTTATTTCACATTTGTAACTGTGGACTTCCGGACAATTCCAAATTCAGCGACAACTTTTGTTTTGTAAATGTTTCTTTTTTTTTGGGAAAAAAAGGTAAACAACTATCGATGACAGCATCGATAGGTTTGTGCTATCGATGTCGCAGGGATGAAGAGCTCTTACTATGCAGAGAACCTAAATTCATCGCACAATTAAAAAGCGAATTTACAATAAAAATTCAAAATTTATATTTAGAAACTAAATATTTATAATATCTTGAAAATAAAATAGCACTTACTCTGTAAACCAATCTCGAATTATAAGTGCTATCAGAGGAGTGAGCACTGTTTCATTCTTTTAGCGCCATCTGTTTTTGAAGTTCTTATATACGCAGTAATTAATAATGTTAAACGATTATGATCTATTTATCACCATTTATTAATTGATTTTTAAAAATTAAGCATTGTTTCGGTTATCCAGTCCAGATAAGGAAACACGCGAGTGTATATTCCGGGGATTCCCGGGGACCCGCAGGACAGACCAGCCGATGTTAATCCAACGACGTGGTACATGCAAGGGAATTTCTGATGGTACGTCAACAGAGGCCCACCCGAGTCGCCGTTGCAAGTGTCCCGGGCCATCTCGGAACCCACACATAGTTGGTTGTCCGCATCGTATCCTCGGGGGAATTCCTCAAGTAGCCGGGCAACCAGTTTTTGGCACACCTGATGAAGTTTTTTAATCAGTTTTTTTTTTTTAACAAATTGTATAATATTCTTGTGGATCACACTCACCCCACCTCCATACCGATCCAGTTTTACCTTGAGCAGCGTAGACGAGGGCCTCAGCGTGAGTCCTGTGCTTCCCCAGCCTACTGCTATAAAGGAGTCGGATAAGGGTTCATGCTGAAAAGGAAGACACGCGGGATGCTTATACAGATCAAATATTACATCCTCGGTTAGTTTTATTAGTCCTATATCATCGTAAAGCTGTGGATCGTCGTAGCCCGGGTGGGTTATATATCCAGAAACTTCATAATCCTTGGGAGCCGCATCCTCTTCGACCGTATCAAAATCCAGTTCGCCCAATCGCACGACATTTACTTCTCCTCTGGAATAATAAATAAGTTTTCGTTTGGCTTATATCTAGATATTGATCCGGAAAAACCCCATGTGGGTTCACTCCTTCACTAAAGTTAATTAGAATTACGTACTGTTCCGATTCCAGGCAGTGAGCTGCGGTTAAGATGAACCGCTCGCTGATCAGCGCACCACCACAAAACCAGTCGGTTTTTCCCAGATTCTGACGACGTCCCAAACGTGCCATGTGCGGAAATTCCCGTGGTTGAGCCGGATGGCCGCCCACAATCAGGGTCCTGTCACTCCTGCAATTATCAATGATCCGACTCTCAATGGGAGCCCCTGGGAAAAGGAGTGCAAAACGGACTTCCTCCTCGAAAACGCTCTTTTTGTATTTCGTGCAAGCTAAAGGATAATTCGATCCAAAATAAAAATAACATCTAAATTACCACAAATCGTTAAAAAAAATCGTTATCTTAGTTCAAAGGAGTATTTCAAGTTTGAATCCACTTACACCTGACTATATCCGGATGCTGGCCAAAAACAAATGCCAGCGAAACGATCAGCAGGGAGATCAGTAGTGGCGTAGACATCTTCAGGTGATGATCGGTAATCAACTGTGTGATCCGAACGGGTTTAGCCATCAATTAGTTTCGACCGATCAGCTGTGGACCCCCCGTTGGAGGCGGGGCTAAAGCGGGTAAAAGCTAATAGAAATCCCCGATCTTCCGACGATTAGCCCTCCATAAAACGGTTTGGTTTGCTTATATTCACTTGCAGGTAGAAATGCAAATGAAAATACAATAATTGATGTCGGTTTTGTACTTCACCAGGTAATTATTATATATTTAATTACTTTGGATATTTATAAACGGTGAACGCTAATATAAGGAGGCTTAGTTCTCCTCTAATTCCCATTAAATAAACTTTTCTTAATCTCTTTGAAAATCATGGTAGTTCTCGAGAGTTAAACAATTTTTTATAAAACAATTCGGAATCTTGTTTTATTTTTAACATCTTTTTGAATATAGTTACTTAATTTTGATTTTTTCTATATCTGATTCGTTTTTTAAATAATACGTTCGAAAATTTAAATAAATCCGAAATTTTTTCAATCACAATTTCTTAAAGGTTTTTTACTCTTACTATTTCTTGGCCAATTGCTGTTTAATCCAATCCACGTAAAAGTGCACCCTCGTGTACATGGCCGGCAGATCGGGTGTGTCGCAGGCCACACCGACGGATGTGATACCCATCACATGATACATGCAGGGGTACTCATTGTGGCAGATGAGTACCGGGCCGCCAGAGTCGCCGTTGCAGGTGTCCTTATGCTCTGTGGATCCGATGCAGAGTTGGGTTGTGGCGTTATAGCCCTCAGGTAGCTCATCATTTTTGTCCGCCGTAAGCCTGCAGCGGGTGCCGTAGTTATAAAGCTTAACCTTCTGAAGCTTTTTGTTTTCAGTCCTCGGAACAATCTCCAGCTGACCCCAACCAATGGCAATGAAGGAGGCGACTGATCGGCCGTCGTCGAAGGGCAGACAGGCAGGATGCTTGTACTCGTTGAAGGAAACGGTTCGGCTCAATCGCACTACGGAAATGTCATTGTAAATCGCTGGGTGACTATATCCAGGGTGCGCTGTGAAGTCCTTTACGGTAAAGTCCTCCGGATCTGCATCGTCGTTGTTGGTGTCAAACTCCAGATCCCCAAGCCGAACAATATTCACAGAACCCCTGCAACGGAAATATTATATTGCATATATAACATATATTTCTTATTGATTAGAAATACATACTGCGGCGAGAAGTGACAATGCGCTGCCGTAAGCACATGCCTGTTGCTGATAAGTGTTCCTCCACAAAACCACTCCACTTCGCCATCATCCTCATTTCTATGTCCCAGGCGGGCAGCGTGCGGGAACTCCTTGGGCAAGGCGGGTCCTCCTCCGATTATCAGGGGTGCATAGCTTGTGCATTTGTCCAGAGTCTTGTAGATGATCGGAGCACCCTCCATCAAGAAGCTGAACTCTGATGTCTCTTCCCAAACACTCTTCTTGTAGGAAGCACATGCTGTTGGGTAATAACGTTCAGTATACATTTTTAGAGTATGTTCCACCTACTGTTTACTATATCCGGATCTTGAGACGTCACATAATCGACTAATAGAACCAGAAATGCTGCTCCCAGCTGGACAATCTCGCCAGAGAACGCACTTTGCATCGTGTAGCTGTCTCTACGGTTTATGAGTAACTAAAACCCGCAAGACGCACAGAGCCTCTCTTTTCGACCTGACAAAGTGCCATTTCCACAGGAGAGCCAACAAATACCGGGAAAAGCCGACTTTGTTGATAAGAAATTATAGACCTACACTTGTTTACAACTTATGCAATCAGAAATTCAATACAATATATGTAATAATAATAACACAGTATCAGTGTGTTCCGGGACTTGAGCATTATTGACTTGAGGGTTTTCATGAAAATATTGAGTGAGCTTTTAATTATTTAAAATATGATCGATTGTCACGACTCTAAAGCAAGGGATAAATTCCGTGGAAATAAAAACCTGAGAGGCTCATTTAAATTTTAATATCGAACCGGTTTGCTGAACAACACTAAATGTAAATTTCAGAGCCGTGTGGACTTACAATTATTAATTAGCAATTTTAATATATTTGTGTCTTTCTGAGAAGCATTAAAATGAATATAAAATAAATGCAACAAATTAGTCGTTTTATGTCTGATTGGCCAGTTCCCTCTTAATCCAGTCGAGGAAGTAATGGACCCTTGTGTAGGCACTTGGAATATCGGGCGTGGAGCAACCAATGCTACCTGAGGTAATGCCCATGACGTGGTACATGCAATGTAGATCCTTGTGGTAGGCTAGCACTGGACCTCCAGAGTCGCCATTGCAAGTGTCTTTGTTGTCCCTAGATCCGATGCAAAGCTGGCTTTTGCGATCGTAGCCATTGGGGAGTTCATCATTAGGTTCCACACTGGTAACACACCTATCACGAAAACCTTGCAGCTGAACTTTCAGCAGCTTCTTGGACTCCTTTTGGGCAAACTTCTTTTGGCCCCAGCCAATGGCAATGAAGTTCTCGTGCTGCTCACCGTCGTCGAAGGGAAGGCAGGCAGGATGCTTGTACCGATTGAACTTGACTTCCCGATCCAGTTGTACAATTCCAATGTCATTGTAGAGTTGAGGGTTTTTGAATTCCGGATGTTCCTTGAGAGTGCGTACATTAAAGTCTTCCGGCTGAGCGTCATCCTGGTCGGTGTCAAACTCCAGTTCACCCAAACGTACAACATTAACTGCGCCACTGTGGAAATATAACAGTAATTTAAAATAACTAAATATGAATATTTTATGCATACTGTTCGGAATAAAAGCAATGAGCCGCAGTAAGCACGAGGCGGTTGCTTATCAATGTTCCACCACAGAACCATTTCGTTACGTTGTTAGCATCACGGTGGCCAAGGCGAGCTGCATGTGGGAACTCTTTGGGTTCCGCCGGTGTGCCATCTACAATAAGGGGCCTAGATCCATGACAAGTATCAACTGTCTCGTAGGTAATCGGTGCATCTTCGAAAAAGAAGCTGATTGCCACTCGTTCCTCAAAAACAATCTGTTTAAATTTAGTGCAAGCTAAAGGGAGCGCATTGATTTAATTTAGTAGTTATGTTCTCTCTTATAGCACTTACCTAGCTGGACAGCTGGATCCGGTGTTTGGCCGTAGATAAGACTGCTGCTGAGGAAAAACATCAGCAGCAAAATCATTTCAAGCGATTGAATTTCCATCTTTGTGATTCGTTCACGAACTGCAGTTGAACGCGATGTCACGGCGACTGATCAAATCGAAGTTAATCAGCTAGTTTTCAATTGCGTACTTTAAGCACTGATCAGCTGGTTTTATTATATATACAGTAGGTAATTTTATGAAGAATCTATATTTTGTCGTTTTCAGAAGCAAACGTATTTAAAAGGTCAATTACATCTTTTCAATTTATGTTTTCCGAACACAGTCTGATTTGATGTTTGCAAAAATCATTGAAAATAATGGAATTTGAATTACACCTAGAATTGTTCACGGATATTTACTGTACTAGAATAGAACCAGTTTGTTAAAAAAAAACCAACTGAGAGTCATCTAGAGTTCGTTGGCTTAACATTTATATTAATGTTGGTAAAAATGTACAAAGTTAAACGATCTATTAAATAAATATTACTAATTGAAGTGAATGCCAGCTGAATTGAAAGCCAGCAGGAGTTTCATGAAGTCGTCGATGTCCATGCTTCTCGCACGTTTAGTAGCCATGTCCTGTTCTTCTAAGATGCCAATGACTTTATCTTGCATGTTGAAGTCATCCTCGACGGGCTAAGGAAATTTTAATTGTTAGATTCTTGACTAAAAACGTTGGAATAGGGCCATAATCATTTTAAAAGGCACTTAATAATAACTAAGATATAGTTATTTTTTCTTCTTTGACCTACCTCATTCCGGAGTGAGCGATACAGTTTGTAGTTTTTCTCCAGCATTTCCAGCACGGAAGTGACTTTGAAGGTGGCTGCCAGCGTTTTGTTTTTGCGCAAGAAGGCGATTCGAGTAAGGCCGTCCCATTCGGTGAAGTTAACCGGTGGTGGTGGGTTTTTGGGCTCTAGCCTCACCACACTGCTTTCGACCTTTGGCGGCGGCTTGAAGTTGTTCTTGCCCACCTTCATGAGCATGTCCACTCGGGCCAGGAGTTGGGTATTGATGCTTAGTCGGCAGTAAAGCTTGTCACCCGGTTTAGCCACCAGTCGCTGGGCGAATTCACGTTGGAACATGAGGACGGCACAGCGGAAGAGTGGTCGGTGCAGGAGCAACTTAAAGATCAGGGGCGAACTAATTTGATATGGCACGTTGGCGATGCAGAGATCGAAGAAGGGGAGCTCCGCTTTCAGAAAGTCTCCGATAAGTACTTGGAGCTTTGGCTGCAGCGGTGTGGCTTGCACTCGCTTCTGCAATTCGGCGGCCAAACGTGTGTCAATCTCGCAAGCTATCACCTTCTTTGCCCGCTCCAGCATTCGAACAGTCATGTTACCTGTTCCGGGACCAATTTCCAGAACGACATCGGTGGCTCTTAGAGCTGCCTTCTCCAACATTGTAGTTATTACCAAGGGATTCTTCAGGATGTGCTGACCAAAGTCCTTGTTAAAAACAATTCCTGTAAGAGAAATTGTATGAATTTTCATTTCGTTTTTTTTTTTGGGTATTTACCCACCCTGCTTCTGCACCTCGGTGTGAATGCGGCTCTTTTTTTCAGTTTTGACCTTTGGCATCTTAGCTAGCACTTTATTTTCTCCTTTAAATAAAAAAATTCCAATAAATAAATGCAAGTATTTATTTGTTTTGGACGTGCTTCTTCTTGATTATCAACATGTGCGCTGTTAGCTTACAGCCGATAACTCTATATGAACAGCGATTTTTTTTATTAACAGGACTGTTAACCGCTGGCTGAAGAACATGATGTTAATTCAAATTTACAAAGCATAAATCTTCTAATTAGCACCAAACAAAAATAAAATGCTGATAAATAATTAATATTGTTATTAGTTTTCGTTTAAAATTCGTATATCAAACCTACAGAAACATTGCTACCAAGTTAAATATTAACCGTTCGCCTTAACATTCCCGTTTCGCAACTGACAATGCTGCAATTTTCAAATTCAAACAAATCGGTTACATTTTTCATAGGTGTTACCTCTTTATTTATTAATTAGTTTTCACTTAATGTTATAAATCAATTTTTCTTGTTTTCAATTTTGCTTTCTTTGGTTATCTTTGCACACATCTGCTCATACCATTTATTTAGTAGCTTCTTTAACATTCAATTACGCTCCTTTACCTGCCTTGGTATTCTTTCCTTTTTTTTTTTTTTTTCTTTTTTTTAATAGCTTTTTTACAACATATCAACTGTTGACTTTCGACTTTACCGTTACAGTTATTTATCTCTTGTTTAAACATAACTTAAACTTTATTTATGCCGTTTTTTCCTCAGTTTTAGTTTGGTTTTTCATCTGTTTTGTATGTGCTTTTTGTGTTGTGTGTGTGTTTTTCTTTTGAATACTTTTTGTTTATGATTATTACTCTTGCAATGATTCCGTCAAATTCTAACCTTCTCTCTGTTTTTGTTGCGCTTTAGTTTTGTACGCCGTTCCATAAATAATTCAGTATATTTTCTTAGTAGTTTGTGTGTAGTTTTGCCTTAGATCAGTTAACATTTTCGGGGTTTCCGTTAATATTCCATTTAAGTATCTAAGATGCGAAAGGTACATGAAAAAGTTGCACATATGTATGTAAGTGGGTGTGTGTTTGCTTGAGCTTCGCGGCTCCAGAAAAAGTTAGCTAAGATGATCGAGTGAGTACATTCAGAGTTTGATTGAAGGACCCTTTTTTGGCAAGCCAGATATATATTCAGTATAAGATTCGGGTTTTTTAGTAAGTAGATGGAGACAACAGCGGGCGCGGGGTAGCGTTCAGCTTTGCGTATTCGGTGAGAGCTTATAGCTAACATTTTTGGTTGCACATTTTCCTATAATTTTAACGTTTGTCAGGTTACGGTCACGCGATTTGATCTATAATCCCTTTTCTGTTACTCTCCTATTAATTACCCTTATCTCTGTTCTCTGCTTAACCGACAGCGAATTTAGCTATTTCCTTGACCTATTCCTGATCCCGATCAAGGATCTATATCTATGTTTATATGAGTTCATCTTGTTGGCTGGAGTTTTGCTTTAATTTTTTATTTTTCATTTTAGTTTTAATTGAATACGCGCCTCTATCCTTGCAAAGGCCTTTGAGCGCATTGCTTAAAAAATTATTCATAGCTTTTAACATTTTGCCTATACTCCTCCTTCAATTCATCGTGTATTTGTTACTTTTCTTGTTGTTTGTTTTGTTTTTTGGTAAAATGCGTTCTTGAAAATACTTTGGGTTAACATTTAAATTGTAAATGGGTAACTAGCGCTTACGCTGGGCTTGCTATTTCACAAATATTATTAGACACTGGGCGTTTATTATTACATACAAATGTGTGTTTATGCTTGCCTTTGCCTTACGATTTTTAGTTAACAACGCTGCTTATAGTTAATAAATCTTCTGTTATCCTTCTTTGCTATTCCTTCTTTATAATTATTATTATATATTAATTAATGATTTTTTTTAGCATGATTTCTCCTCTTGTGGCAGACTGAAATCGAAACAGAAATTAATTTTGCAGCAATAAATTAGCATTGGAGCACACGAAAATAACATTTAAAGAATATTTATGCTAAAATTTGAATGCAGTTAGTTTCGAATAGAACTTAGCTTTGAGTCTTTGGCTTTAAAATCAACAATAAACATTAATATTGTTTGTCTCCTATCATCCTATGCCACATCATTTCAAATAATTTTGTTTCGGCTTTTTCATCATTACGCTAAGTGTTTGTTTGTTTGTTTTTCCTTTGTGTGTATTATATATGCCTTTAGTTTCACAATTTATATGGTTCATATATATATATATATCTCTTTATATATATAATTTGTTTGTTCTCCTCTTCATTGGCTTACAGACTAAACACATTTTGTTTCTTGTATCCATAATTTGTTAAGCATAAATTAATATGAATTTTATAGACATTCTTTTTGTGGGTTTTAGCTTTATCTCTATGATTAGTTAGCTTTACTTTCTCTTTCTTGGTAAATTGTATGCGTTTGTATTAGGGGTTTTTTGGCTTCATTTTGTTTGTTTTTGTTTTCATTTTTATAAATATTTATGTATAACAATAAGGTAATTTTAAAATAATATCGCTTTAATACTTGAGAAGGAAGTTGTGCAAGATTTCGAATACATAAAACAAATTCAAATTAGACTTTTGTGGTAATATGTATTGTGTGTGTGTGTGTGTGTGTGTACTACAGACGGCACATTGCGGCTATTGTGTTAGAAATTCCCTTGAGATTCGCTTGGAGCAAGTGCCTCGCCTCCCTTAAAAAGAGCTCTGCTTGGATGCTGTCGGTCTGTGAGTGCGAAACTTGAGATTCGGCACGTCAAACAATCAATAAATAACTAATAACAAAATGCACTCAGCCACTGGGCATTGACTAGATGGGTGGGGGATTCATTCTCTTCTTTTTTTTTGTTGTTTTTTGTTTTAGGGGCTTGGCAGACAACATAAATAGATTCCAACAGGTGTGGAGCTTAAAGCGGTTAAGGTTTTTGGGCGTGAGGGGGGAAGTTTCGGGTGACAAGAGCTTAAGAATTCGCGTCCTTGTGCGCTTTTCATTCAAGTTGAAGCTTAGCAGTTTCGACAATTGGCACTGGTAGTTGGATGTGGATGAGTGATTCACACAGGACCGGTTACGAAACGAGGACCACGACTACGGCTGGAAACAGACAACAATGGGGGCGTGTTCACCGGGGGAGTTACTTTAAATGAAAATATTAGACTGCTTGTGCTAGGGGATGCGCTACACGCTGGATGACATTTGACAGTTTGGTTCGATGACGATCTGGTTTGGCCACACCGTCGCCACATTGGGATTCCCAATCTCATCGGGGCTTAAGATCGCATCGCACCAATCAAACTGGTTGGTGAACATGAACTGCGATCGTTGGGCCTTAGTAGACTTTGCGTTCCGGTCCGAATTTGGGATTCACAAACGAGAATCCAGCGAATTCGTCCTGGTTGATGCAGCGCACGACGTCGTTTCCAATCGGTGTGAGTACAGGATCCTCCTTGGTGAACTCCGCATCGAAGTTATTGGCATCGCGTGGATTTTTCTATGAGTAACATTAAATTTAATAAAGGTCTTACTTAACTTTCTCAAACAAACTTACCATTTTCGGTCGGAATGGTGGCTTTATGTTGCGCTTCTCCAGCTCTTTCCAATCCAGCTTGTTGAAAAATGGATGCTTGCGTATCTCGTTCTCATCACCAGTGCAACCCAGTCGCTGCTCCGGGTTCTTGGTGAGAAAACCTGGAGGAATCGAAAGAAGTAATATGTAAAAAACATGTAAGAAGAAAGGGCTATGTAGATCATCTCACCTTTTAGTATAGAGACTGCCTCGCGGGACAGCCAAACCGGATAAAGGACGTCGTCGTGCATGATGGAGTCGAAGAGCTCGTCTTCGTTGTCGGCCTCAAACGGCGGCTGGCCAGCCATCATCTCGTACATGAGGACTCCCAACGCCCACCAGTCGACGGAGGCGCCGTACTCCTGCTCCTTGAGTATCTCCGGGGCAATGTAATCGGGGGTGCCACAGAAGGTGGTGGTCAGCATGCCATTCATGATGCCTTCCTTGCACATGCCGAAGTCGGCTAGCTTGCAGTGGCCCTCCTGGTCAAGCAGGATGTTGTCCAGTTTCAGGTCGCGGTAGATGACGCCGTGAGTATGAAGGAACTGCAGCGCCAGTGTCACCTCCGCTGCATAGAAGGCGGCACGCGAGGCCTCGAAACGACGCGCCTTCTGTATCTGGAACATCAGATCGCCGCCATTTACGTACTCCATCACGAAGAACAGGCGGTCCGGGGTCTGGAAACAGGAATGTAACGCAGTCAGGAAGGGATGGTTGGCGGCCAGCGCCAGTATGCGCTTCTCCGTCATGGTGCAATCGACGTCGTCGTCCTGTATGATCGCGTCCTTCTTGAGCACCTTAATGGCATAGATCTCGTCGGTGCCCTTCTTCTCAGCGAGCATCACCTTTCCGAACGAGCCCTTGCCAAGTACTTTAATGAAATTAAAGTCCAGCAAAGAGCACTTTCCAGGACGAGTCTCTCCTGTGGCCCCGCCTCCACCAGTACCACCCACCGCCAGGCTCATGCAGCTGCTACTATTGTATCCACTGGTCAGCGTCGTCGTGGAGGTTGCCAAGCTGTCCGCCGATAGAGTGCCACTGCGGAAAGACTGACCCGGAGCACCATCCCCATCGCAGCCCAACGATGCCCCATAGTTGTCCTCGCCGACCTGCTGATTCAAGTATTTGGAGCGACGCGGCTGCTGCTTGTCAGGCGAAATACCAAGCGAACTCAGGATTTCGGCCATCTGCTTCGTGTTGATGCCACACGTATTTGCCACGTTCTTCTGGCAACGCTTGTGCACATTCATCCCGCAGGTCTCGCATTGTAATCCCTGCTTGATCAGACCGTACAGCAGGGATCCACAGTGGTCGCAAAAGGTGAACCTCTTGTAGTTGTGCACCACAAAGCGATGCGGTACGTTCACATTGAACCTTTGGCCCGCTGGCACCACCTCCACTTTGGTTTGCTGGGGAATGAAAATCGCTATTAATGCACAAGATCCGGAGGTGATATTCCATTGACACTTACCTCATCTCGCATGCCCGGACACTTGGACACCACGGACAGGTGGCATTTTTTATGTACAACTAACGTGCAGACTAGAAGTGTTTAGGGGAGAGAAACCAAAGGCGAAAGAATTAATATCCAATCTTGGCACTTGGCACTTTAAGAATTCTTCGATTGCAGAGTGCAGGGCAAATTATCCAAAACTCTATGAAAACTATAGACTCAATAAGAAGATCGCTCTGGTATAAAGTCGACGTTATTCTAAATATCTCTTTGGAAGTATTTAAAACGTGCAAGAATTTCCAACATTTAATTTGTTTAACATTTTGATTTGAATATTAATGCAGAAATCCTTGATAGATCTTTAATTTTCTTTATTTATCAACAATATATTCATATCTAAAGGTTTTTCCTTATTGCAATTCAATACATCTTCCTTCAGGGCGATTTTCTTCTGAGCTAACACTCTAGACATACGAATGTGTATATTTACAGGACTTCGTTTATATTAAGCTCGTTGAAACATTCAGGGTTAGACACAAAGTCCCCAATCGTGGCATTCACTTGAGACTTGAATTAAGGTGGTATATCAGATTTATCAGGAATATCACGATTGAGCGGACAGAAATTAGTTGGTAAACCGTCGACTGTTTCTTGTTGTGCAGTGTGATTATTCACATGTTGGTCAGTGGAGTTAAGTTGTGCTTGGTCTGTGTCTGTGCTCTAATTAGTGTTTCGGTTTTAATCACAACATTTAAATGCTTCGTGCCAGATATTTCAACCAAAACTACTTAGAAATGTGAGAAATGACGAAAGGAGTCATATAAGCAGTTTCGTTTATGACAACAATGAATAAAAGTATAGAAAACGAAATCCTATAGTATTTCTAACTATAAAATCATTTTCCCAACAAATCACGAATTAGTTTTTCAAAACCCTCAGATATGAAATATATATAGTCTAAGGACAGAAAGACTTTCATGCATGAAATTTACTTCCTAAAGATGAAGTGGCATTCGTATGAAGCTGAGATGATCCCAAATTTAAAGTACATCGAATTAGAGTTTAGTGACATAACAAAATGGTCTCCAAATCATTGAAATTTTGCTTAGTTCGCCTGTCTTAAAATTAAGTATTGATTTGAAATCTTTGACTTCTGAGACTCAAACTTGGTTTATCTAAAGCATGCATGACAATATATGGTTAAGTATCGGGCAGACGGACAAACTTATAGGTAAAAGTGAGTAAGCTAATTTGTGTTCTGGTATTAGAATAAACCTATTTTTTACTTCTGGTAACTCCGATTGGGTTTTCTTCAGAGTAGCATTCCTCATAATACGTAAATTTAAAATGCAATGTAATGGGGACTCGTTTTGATTAATGGTGCAGTGGAGACAAGATCTTTGCCAGGACACTGGTTTGTTTCGAGGCAATCGTGACTCAAGCAAGGTGATCGATGCATTGGACAATGCTGAAGACTGGACAATAATGCAGAGCAATCGATTCTGATTTCATAGTATGATAGACAAAAAAAACTTAATTGATCTCAAAATGCAGCCAAAGAATTCCAATGGCAACAACATCAACAACGACAACAGCAAACAACGAATAACGAACAACGAACAACGTACAACGAACGTAACAAGCAAATGCAAAGTGATATGGATTGGATATAGCTTGTAGGGGGCTCTTCCTGGAGCTCCCAAGCACCAGAGCTGAGCTGCTCTGGTTTTCCGTTTAGTCTGAAGCAAAACACATACCTTGACATTGATAGCCTTGTTTACCAATTCCCCTGCAAAAAGGCAAGAAATTCCATGGCTATTGTATGTATATATATTTTGGTAACTGAATGATTTGTGGTAGTGTGTTTGTTTGTTTGTGTGTGCGAGTGTGTTTATTTTGAATGGGATGAGAATCGCCGATGGTAGATAGCCCCATAAGAAATCAAGCATGACCTGATCGTGAACCCAAGATGATTCCAGCAGCGACCCAAGCCAGCAGCAATTGCTTTAGCTATAGCCCGTTAGAGAAACCAGGTTAATGCCAATGGATGGAGAGAACTAAGGAAATTAAAACTGCATAATAGTGAGCCACCCAAAAAAGAGCCAAAGATGTAGCCAATAGAGCGATGATGATGATGATGATGATGTGAGTGATAAGGAATAGTGATACATTAAGAACATAGAGGTAAATAGATCAACCCAAGTCGAATCAAATCAAATCAAAAATAGTTCAGATGGTGAAAGGTGTGTGTAAATCAAGTCCCGAAACTAAATGCATGTTCAGATTAATCACTGCAGATACAACTTAGGGATGTACGGAGATGTTTCAGCCCTTCTGTGAGTACGTTACGAGAGTTGTACGATTATGTGTGCTGGGCTTCACTTACCAGATAAACTCGCGACAATGCGAACAGAAGGTGGGTTGACGCAAAAACGTTGCCATGAACTTGTGACCATTCACCTGAAATTGGGCAAACAGTGATGTGTTAGTGAAGTAATAAGATCACAGATCTGTGTATTTGGAAACTAACCTGATGGACACGACGGCGCATAGCACCGCGACGGCGGTTGAATCCAGCACGCTCTTTGAATTCCTTGTTGACGGCCACGGTGTGCTCGACGACAGCCTCGGCTTTGGCTTTATCTGCAATTAGGCAAAATGGTTAATACAATTTGTAGCCTTTTTCAAAATGAACCTTTGTATTTACACGAACCCGTGCGATTCTTCAGCTCAATAATAACGTGAATCTTGCCCTGGGGCTCCAAATTAACCTGTAATTTTTAAGGAATGTTAGTTTATTGAAGAGAATATTATACATTTGACTTCGGTTCCAAACCTACCCATAGATCTTGAACAGCCGTCTCGCTCTGCATGAGGTCCTCGAAGGAGATGATGCAGTTGGCCACAAAATCATCTGGCGGCAGAGCGGCATCATGAAAGACGGTCAAATTGATGTTGCTAACATTGGTCACGTCGTGGACAAACTGCTCGTTCCAAACAGGATCGAATGTTTTTGGCCGTGTGGTGGCTCGATCTGAAAGTATACAAGATTATTGAAGAAAGTTACTATATAACCCGTATAAGTATGCAACACTTTGATAAGAGGGGAGTTAGTATCTCACTGTGGAGTTCTTACTAGATTTTTAAGGGTACCTTAAGCACTATAATCGGAAACTCACCAAAGTGACTCTCGTCGACATCTATGGATACATAGGGATCGATGAGCTGCTCGTCGGCCAATTTGCCGAAGGTGAGATTGTGGCGCTTCTGAAAGTCTGTGGGCCGCAGGCCGCTCGCCTCGCACACCTTGATCTGCAGCTTGCCCGTGAACATGGTCCTAAAATCGATTCCTGTCCTGTCGCCCTGCACTTGCTGCTCCTCTAGATCCTGATCCTGATCCTGAACCTGAACCTGCCGCTCCTCGGTCCTCCGTGCGATGTCCTTGCGTGTCTATTTGGGAAGCAGCGGTGGACCACTCGGCTGTGCTTGTGGTGGTGTGCGGCTAGCAGGTGATCCTGATCTGCTGTCGGATAAAGAGGAATCGATTGTGAATTCGAGAATCGCAACTTTCGCTGCGGGCCAATGTTAGTGTAGGTCATTGACACACATGAATGGCAAATGCCGTACACTCGATTCACTTCCAAGGTCGCTTGCGCCTCGCACCGATGGAATTTTTACACATACATTCATTCATCTACACCAGCAGTCAACAAAAGTGCTTTCGACATCTTTTAAAATAAAATGTAATTGGTTTAAATTCAAGTTTATTTAGCTTTTACTAAGTTACAAAGTTATTTAAAGGAAGTATTGGATAAACTATGAGAATTAGTCAACAAAATGAATAATACGATTGCGATTAAAATAGGGAAGTGCTTTGCTAATTCACTGATAAGCATAACATTTTACGTTTCTAAAAAAGGAAATTTTGTTTTTTAACTTTTGTTATACGGTTTTTTAGAGGAAATAATTTATCTGTTATAATAATTTTTAAATTTATTTTTGCACCACTACTATTTTGTCTGCCATTGTGTTTATGTACACTTGTGTGGGTACATTAGGCAATCGCTCAAACGACACTACAGTCCGTGAAACAAAAAATCGAAAATAGTTCGCGACCATCATCTGCTATCATAAAATTTCTGGCATATAAATCATTCCAAGGAGTGCAATTTTGTTAATTTCGCAATTCCACAATTTGGTGTACACAATCTAACTCGACTTTAATAGGGATACAAAGCGTTTTTTTGATTGGCAAATTTGGTGGGAACAAGTAGTTGCCCCTTTTTTTCACACAATCTTAAGTACTTTCAGTGTCATTTAGCTTTGATTACATATAATGCTTTTCCTTGCTCACTTTTTATGCAAATTCTTTGTGTGCATGTATATACATACACACTTTTACACGCACATCTACACTCACAGTCAGCTTTTTTCCACAGATAAAACAACAAAGAAAGAATAACAAGCAATTCTAATGTTGCCTCTCTCTCGCACTTCACCCACCCAGCAATACACCCGCGACTCACGCCCACTCCAATTGGAAACACCTGACGAAACGCCAATAAGTGCGCTCAATTTACTAAACGTTTGGCTAACCCGTCCAATTGGAAAATTTGTAATTTTCTAATTGGTGAAAACGAAGGTCTTCCAGCTGGCAGAGTTGCCGTATTGCTCGGCTGTCAGTTTGACACTGAAGCAGTGTTGGTAAATAGACGAAAGTTCCACTTTTAAGAAGTATCCTCTTTATGGCTAAAAGTGTTTGTTTGTTGATCGGTTTATTAGAATATTATGAGCACTATAAAATTACTGCCACTTTTTTCTTGGTCCTTTTTGCTTGAAAACAAGCGCAAGAAAAATTACGTATATATTTTTATATTATTTATATGCAGCACTATTTATTTGTAGTATATGGACAAAATATTGGCACGACAACTTGAAAACTAGCTTCTTAAATTGAAAAGTAATATTTTTTTTTTATTTTACTCCAAAATGTGGAAATGTATTGGGAAATATGTTGCCAACTTTGTTTTTCAACAAAAGAAGCAGTTAACTGCTTTGAAGAAATTGAAAATACTGGTATGAAATTGTTTTATGAAAAGTAAAAATGCTACTATTTACTTTAAATTCTTTAAATTCCAGGTTTAGGAAAAACATACTTGATATTAAAAACAGATTTTAATTTTATCAAAAATAAAATTAAAACTTATATTAGTTTATCTGCGCGCGCAGAAGCTGGTATATTAGAGAAAAAAGTGGCACTAGAACACACACACACGCTCGACATATGTATGCGCTTATACACACACTCACGCACACAATTACACGCACCCTGTTTGCACAGCGTTTTAAATTGATTGGTTTTCCCAGGGAATTTCCTTTGTTTTTCGACGAATTCGAATAATTTCACAAGATCACAGTGTCCAGCATTTTCAGTTGCATTGCTGTGGTTTTCTTATAGGATTAGAGCTTTCGCGTATTAATATTGATAAAAAATGTTCACGCCAAATCTTATTGGAAAAACGTTAGGGATGTACTAAGATGGGCGATATAAATCGTGAAGGTATTAACAGCTGTTGAGTCCCCTGTTACTGTTACTTATTATTCTGTTAAAGAATAGTTTCTTCGCTTACCAACACTTTTTAATTATCGATATCCGCATTACTTTTTCATTGTAAATTGTAAATAAATAAAATCTGGAAAAATGAGCTCGGGGGCCATGCGCACTCCCGTCTCGCAGATAATCCAAAGCAAGCAGGACCAAGATGCCGAGGAGGAGCCGAAGAAGAAGTCCCGCGAGGACTGGCGCAAGGCAAAGGAGTTGGAGGAGGCTCGTAAAGCGGGAACAGCTCCTGCCGCTGTGGACGAAGAGGGTCGTGATATAAATCCGCATATTCCCCAATATATATCAAACGCTCCATGGTACTATGGATCAGCGGGACCCACATTGAAACATCAGCGTCCCCAGCACGAAGACGAGCAAGGACAGCTAGACAAAAGGGCTCCAAAAGGTCTTGACACCTCTCGCATCATCACCAAATTCCGGAAAGGTGCTTGTGAAAACTGCGGTGCGCTTAGCCACAAGCGCAAAGATTGCGTAGATCGGCCACGTAAAGTTCTAGCAAAGTACGCCGAATCCATCGTTGTTCACGACGAGCATTTAGTAAATGAGGCTGCAGTGAACTACGACGAGAAAAGAGATCGTTGGAGCAGCTATGACCCGGCCAATCACCGGGAGATCGTCGAGGAGTACGAGAAGGTGGAGGAGGCCAAGCGACAGCTTAAAGCCGAGAAGCTCAAAAATGGTAGGGACAATATATATAATATATTTTAAGTTCCTTTTTTATTTATTTATCTCTTTAGATCCCGATGCCGAAATATCCGATGAGGATGGTAATGAAGACAAATATGTGGACGAGGTGGACATGCCGGGTACTAAGGTGGACTCCAAACAGCGTATCACGGTGCGGAACTTGCGTATCCGCGAGGACACAGCCAAATACCTGAGAAACTTGGACCCTAACTCCGCTTACTACGATCCCAAGACACGCTCCATGCGTGACAATCCCAATCCCGCAGTGCCAGAGGAAGAGTGAGTACTCAGAAGTTTCCGAAATACAAATATTCTCTTATTTTTAAATACTTTAGAGCTGAGTTTGCCGGTGAGAACTTTGTGCGCTTCTCTGGAGACACGACAGCACAAGCCACCGCCCAGCTATTTGCTTGGGAGGCTCATGGCAAGGGAGTGGATGTCCATCTTTTGGCCGAACCTACTAAGTTGGAATTGCTTCAGAAAGAGTACGAACAGAAAAAGGAACAGTTCAAGTCGAGTGTGAGTTTTTCTCTTAAATAAATTACCTAAAGCGAGACTTCCTAATAATATAATTGCCATTTTAGACGAAAACGCACATTGTCGAGAAATACGGAGGTGAAGAGCACCTACAGGTGCCGCCAAAGTCTCTGTTGCTGGCCCAGACAGAAGAGTACATTGAGTACTCTAGGAGCGGCAAAGTGATCAAAGGTGTTGAGAAACCAAAAGCGCGCAGCATCTACGAGGAGGATGTTTATATTAATAACCACACCACCGTGTGGGGCAGCTACTGGAACGCCGGTCGCTGGGGCTACAAGTGCTGCAAGTCCTTTATCAAGAACTCCTACTGTGTCGGTATGCAGGAACCTGAAGGGTACTCGGAGCAGCATCCCACTAGCTCGAGCACAGTATCTGCAGCGGAGCCAATAGCCCAAGTTCAATTTAAAGTTCCAGAAGTGCCCCCAGAAAAGCCCGCTTCCGAAGTGGACTCGGCTCCGAGTTCAGAATCATCTTCATCGGAAGAGGAGGAAGTAAAACCAGAGAAGAAAAAGTCCAAGAAGAAGTCAAAGAAACGCGAGAAGAAAAAGAAAGCCAAGGAACAGCGGAAACAAAAATCCAAACACAAGGATGCCAAGGAAAAAGAGAAGTCAAAAGAGAAAGAAATTCCAGAGGAACTGGACGATCGCAAAAGGGCTTACAACAGCATGTATGACGTAAAGGCGCCCACAGAGGATGAGATCGAGGAGTGGAAAAAGAAGCGGCCTAGGGCAGAAGATCCTATGCTGCAATTTATGTAGACAACAAAATAAAACTAATTATCTTAAATTAAAACATTCTAATCTTAAAAAGACGTACAAGCAAGAACAGTTTATTAAACAATAGCATATTGCTCGTAGAGCAGCTCTCTGATCTTGTAGTACTCCTCGGACAAACAGCCCTCCATTGCCACTTTGCCGGCATCGACGCGCCTCAATGCAAGAGTTCCATTGCTGCACCAAAGCACGCCGCCGGAGAATTCCGAGTTAATGTTGTTGCGCATGAGAATCTGCTTAAAGTCGGAGAGCTTAAGCTCGTTAATGAGGACCGAGTTATGAATAGGTATCTCATCGTCGGCCAGCGTCTCCAGTGTTAACGTCTTGCCTTCCTGCACGGCTGCGTCTTGCTCCACCGTTACGTCCATAGGAGCTTCGATGGCCTTCACGCGCATGCCCAGGCGACCATCAACCCACGCCACCTCCGCGTCTTTGCCCTTTTGGAACTGCAGCTGGGAGACAAGTCCTTCCGTCAGGCGTACCTGATAGATGTGGATCTCAGTGGTGACGTCAATGATTTCACCCTTATGGGGGGTAAAAACGCGCGCCCCCACATTTTGCTCGCAGTGTTTGGCCACCACCTGGGTACCTTCTGCAGTACCGTGAATTACGATTACCCGCCTTGGTCGCAATTGGGAAAGAATCTTGAGCATAGACTCGCCATCAGAGCGACCTTCAAAATCGATCCTCTGGATTTGAGCATTCACTTCGATGGTTTTGCGTTGGTTAATTAGCTTTGTGGGCTTTTCCAGCAGCTGAACATCGTTGTCGCCAATGCCTCCGTTAGCCTGTTGATCTGGTCCCAGCCCTGGTTCCTCCTTTTTTACATTCTCCTTGTTTTGCTCTTCCATTGGAACGAAATCGTATCCCCCCGTATCTGCGATGCGGTAGTCATCCAGATTAATGATCTCTCCGTACTCATCGTACTTGACTTTTTCTTCGTGATAGGGGAACATCACATGATGTCTTTTGTTAGACTTGAAAAAACCGGAATGATGTCGACCCTCTGGGCGGACAACAATATCATGCTTGCCGGTAATGACACTCATCTCGATGTCGTCCTCGGATTCTGAACTGCTCTCTTCCTCCACATCGGGCTTCACAATGAGAGGATTAAGCTTTTCGCCCTGTGTGCGTATGTATTCCTCTAGTTCGGCGCCTTCTAGCTCAACTCTTCGCCTGACGTCCAACTCGATTTGCTTACCCGGCGTACAGTTCTCAACCAGTTCCATGGCTAAAGTGCCTGGGGAAGTGCGCGTGGTTAGGATAATGCTGTTATTGGCATTGCTGGCCCATTGCACAAAGAGGTCTCTCGTGAAACCGCTCTCCAAGTCTGGGGTACTGGCCAGTACCACTTTTGGGCCGGCGGGTAATTTATAGACGTCCGCCAGCGAGTGACAGAGTTGGATGTGCTTGAATTGGAAGGGATTGTTGCGAGCTCCCTCGAAGGCTTTCGTGAGTTTGTCGCTCATCCACTCGATCTGAGATTTGGCGAACTCGATTACGTTATAGCTCACATTGTTAAGAAGGGCAAGCGAGTAGGCCATTAGACCTGATTCCTTGTTTTTCCACAGTTGGTCGAGCATGTGGGCTAGTTCCAGGACGCGTCCCGCCGTGTCTACAGCTATTAGAACATTGCCATTGTTGCGCACCGTCTGCAGGATGTTTGTCATAAGCTTTTCATCGCGAGCCCGCCTTCTGGCTTGCTGATATTGCGCATTGTACGCATCGGTAATAAGGAGCGAAGGTCTCTGTAGTCTGTCCAGCTCGCAGCCACTTAAGTGGCGTTCCTTCTTGTGGTTGAAGTCGGTGGCATAAACAATATCTTCCTCGCCAACCTTGACGATCTTCCAGATGGTGCCGCCGATCATGTGTCCCGCATTTAGAGGCGTTATGGATATGCCATAACCCTTGCCCTTCAGTGAAACAGTTTGGTTGTATTTCAACTGAGTGATCTTTTCGAAGGCAGTGTCCACATCATCCAGGGAGAAGAGATCAAAGTCGCCCATGTTGAAGTGAGACATGTACAGATCGTACATGAACATTTGGCCCATTTTAAACACGGGAATGGTGGCGTAAATGGGGCAATTCAGACCTAGTTTTCCGACCAAATAAGGCAGAGCGCCCAGGTGATATGCATCTGGATGAGACAACAGCACAGCATCCAGGGTGTGAACCTGCCTAAAAGATGACACTGTTTATCATTTCTTGAATGTTAAGCATTCAACTTACCTCTTTAGTTCCTTTATGAAGTTGGCGTCAAACTTTTCGTCCCATCCACAGTCGAGTAAAATTCGCACATCGTCTATCTGTAGGATATAGCATGGCGGGGACTCATCCATAGCCCCGGATATAGTATGCAGCTTGATAATTGACGTCATTTTGTGCAATTAAAGCGCAGAAGCATTTGTTAAAGAAGTCAATTTTACATATAAATCGTAGTTCTCCGCCGGCCCAGGGATACAGAACCAACCTTATAATGTTGCCAGACTGTTTTTGTCTTGTTTATACAGTAGATACTAGTTTATGTTTATTTATTAATAATCTATTATTTTAAATTCTATAAACATAAACTTATATAAAAAAAGCAATTGCATACATACTTATGAAAATACTTAAATAAATATTGAGATATTAACTATGGTAGGTATCGTTAACTTCGTTCCCTCTTTTAGTTGTAAATACTTTATCATTTTCTTATCAACGACTCAATATAAATAAATTTGTTTTTTAATTATAAAAACCCGCGTCTTATCTTCTTTCTGATTAATTAACATGGGTGCAGTCCAACATATCTTTACCGAACGGCCCAAAAACGTACAGCAAAGAGCATTTATTAAGATCTACAGTACATGCTCTTTGATTTATTACCTTTACGAAATGTTTGTTGGTTCTTTTAAAGTGAAAATTGTATTGCATTAAAATAAATTATATTTATAAAAGAGGTATTTATTGATACAAATTGATTAAAGGAAAATATTTGTATTATTTTTTCTATTAGTCAGGTTCAACTGTAGAAGTGTTGGCGTGGTGACTAATTGCGTCCCTGGTCGTCAGCTGTAATTCGCCAATCGCCCGCGAATCACGATTGCATCCGGAATAAGGATGCGGAGTTCTAACAGATCCCGTTGAGTTAAGAGTTCCTGCCTACGATGTTCGTGCGGCTCTGGATCCGGAGCTTCCACATCTATGACCTGCTCTTCGCCATCGGCCTGATCACGCTCATCGTGTATTTGTGTCTACCATTTCGGTTTGCATCCCACTACGAGTACATCGAGGGCTCACAGATCGAGAAGGCTTTATTGCCACAGGTAACACGCAATGTGTCCCTGCAGGAGGTGTTTGAGTGCACCTACTCGGAGATCATTGCCGAGAACCGGTTCGTGTATAATCTGGCCCATTACCACGAGGCCATGCAGCACAGCGCTGAAATTCGTCCAGGCGGCGAGTTCCGTCCGGAAGGATGTCAGGCCCGCTACAGTACCGCCATTATTGTTCCGTACAGGCAGCGGGAGCAGCAGCTGCACGCCTTCCTCACCTACATGCACAATTACCTGCCGCAGCAGTTGATCCATTATCGGATTTTCCTAGTCGAACAATTTGATCATAAGCCCTTTAACCGGGCTATGCTCTTCAACATTGGCGCTCAAGTAGCTGCAGACTACGGATTTCCCTGCCTGATCCTCCACGATGTGGACCTTTTGCCGTTAAATTCAGGTCAGATATATGCCTGTACCGAACGTCCACGACACATGTGCTCTGCCCTGGATCACTGGAGATTCCGATTGCCGTATCGTGGTCTGTTCGGAGGCGTAGTAGCTATAAACACCGCCCAGTTCCAGCAGATCAACGGAATGTCCAACCTGTATCATGGTTGGGGCGGCGAGGACGATGATCTCTACGAGCGCCTACAGGCCTTAAGCATTAACATTTGTCGATTTGCGATGGAATTTAGTGAGTATACCATGTTAAAGCACAAGCCGGAGCGCCCGAATGCTAATCGGGTAGCGCTTTTAAGGGCGGCGACTCTCCGCCAGCACTCGGACGGACTCAACTCGTTGGTGTACAAGGAGGTGGAGCGAAGAATGCACAGTCTATTCACGCACATCCTGGTGGAGACCTGAGAGCCAGTATTTGTTATATTTTTAGCTTATAGGCCAATCGTTTTCGTAGTCGGTATTTCGAATTGTTTTAGACTTGGGAGCACTTAGCTTAGCAACCGATTAGCTGCCGCCTTAGACAAATGCGTTCCGAATCGATCGTGATATCTCACTCACTAGGCTAAGAAGCTGGAAAGGATGGGAGGTGTTGGAGCTGTAATTAAAGTACAATGCAGATGTCTTAGATTAAGCGGGTATCGCCATGTTATGCACGCTCTGCCTCTGCCAATAATAAATGGATTAAACTTTAAAATATCTGTTTTAATTTGTAACTAACTTAATGGGAACAGTTATTAGCGAAAGGAATACCAACAAGGTGATCCTGGATGAGTTGTCCTTTCTAGGTGAGGAATTTATAATCTTGTCCGAAACGACGGCAATGAGAAACTTAAAGGTATATATGTATATTATATATAGGATATTACAAGAGGTAAACCCGATGATATACCAAAGTCTGAAGAAGGAACTAAGATAAATTAGTCTAAGATTAAACTTAAATAATTATGTCGCTTTTGCTAATATTATAGTTTTTTTTTGTGGACTATTTTTTAAGTTTATATGATTCTGAATTAATTTTTGAATAAAACATCTTAAATCAGAATGTTCAAATATTTTTGTGAAAATGTTAATTAAATTTTCTTTAAAAACCTCATAAATTTAAATTTAACATAAAATTAGAGTTGCAGTAAATTAATTTATCGCACCAATCGAATAAACAATTTTTCGACCCCTAATCATGACTATTGATATAGCCACTTATCTAGGGCTCATTTAACAAAAGTTGCTGGTGACCTTAGACATGGGTTTTCTGACCTCATTACGCAGAATAATTATTTATTTCGCCATATTCCTCGGAGCTATATTCCTCCTTCCCGGATTACCACCTAGCACCACTTTTCCCTTCAAGGAATATGTGTAAGCTGGCTATTTTCAGTCCTTTCCATATTTATACTCGATATTTTGTTTTCTGTAGTGTAAAGCCTCCTTTAGAACTGAAAGGACCGTTAAAACCAAATTTTCACCTGGATGGTGCTAGGCATTTGTGGAAAGATCAAGTTTACGGACCTGAGAACCTTATAGTGCGAGATGAGTGGATCTACACGGGAATACATGGCGGAGAAGTCATCCGACTAAATAAAGACTCCGTCGAACCTATAACAAAGGTCGGGCAACCTTGTGGTACGAAAAGCCGGTATCATGATTACATTTATGCTGATTATTTTACTTTCTATAGATTACATTTTTGATGACGATCTATGCGGCTATCCAGTGGGTTTGGCCTTTGACACCATAGGAAATAATCTGATTATAGCAGATGCACATTATGGAATATGGCAAGTAAGCTTGGATACGAAAGAGAAGACCAATTTGGTGTCTCCGGAGGAAATCCTTCCCGGGAAAGGAGTGAATCGCCCGGGAAAGCTGTTTAATTCAGTGACAGTCAGCCGGGAGGGTGACATTTACTGGACCGACTCTACGTCCGAAGGATTTGCTTTCATGGCTTTTGCTAATCCTTCGGGGCGGTAAGTTTGGGAAAGGATCAGACTATTGAAAAGATAATTATTATTTTTTTCAGACTTTTAAAATACAATCGACTAACAAAAAATGTTGAGGTTCTCCTAGATGAGTTGGCCTTGTCTAATGGAGTGGCTTTAAATCCCGATGAGGATTTTGTAGTTGTGGCCGAAACGGCTGCCATGCGTCTGACGAAATATTATCTAAAGGGACCCCAAAAGGGTCTGAGTGAAATATTTGTGGAATGTTTGCCAGGATTGCCGGATAATCTGACTCCTGATACTGACGGAATCTGGGTGCCTTTGGCCCTAGCTGTAGATAGTGAGAATCCCAATCCGTTTGCAGGATTGGCACCTTATCCGAGGTTAAGATTTTTCCTCGCTCGACTGGTCGGAATAATGCAGCTTCCTTTTCAATTCTTAAAAAATATATATCCCAACAACATTTCTGCTCATCTCTTACACTCATTTACAGAGTGGGTCAGCTCAAACTCGCCTAATCGGACCACTATAGTGCGTTTAGACTGGAATGGTAACATCGTCAAGGCCTTGCATGGTTTTGATAGATCTGCTGCCAGTATATCACATGTCCTAGAATATAAAGGCTACTTGTATTTGGGTTCGCCAACAAATCAACACATAGTGAAAGTTAAATTAAGCGACCTAAAACAAATATGAGCATATCAGAAATCCGTTCATAATTAAGCAAATTAAATAAAATATTCAAAAATTAAATTAAAATGTTGTATATATATATTTTTTTTACGAATTTTATAGTTTTGGAACAAAATAATGATTTCCTTTGTGGTTAAAATGAAAATGAAATTGCTGAAAAATGAATAAGTCAACTTTTGAAACAGAGAATTTCGATATTTAAGAAATTACTAATAATTAAAAAAAATATGGTATCCAATCACACCGAAACCAGTTTCTTTATATTGATATATTTTGTAAAATATAGGTAAGGAGAAATTGCACAGAACGTAGATGGTTGGCTTTTTGGTATAGCTAACAATAAAATATTCTATATATTATTTAATATTCTATTTAACTACAGGCATTCGTTTCGTTTTACATTTGATATCGATTGCGGAATGTGACAACGAGCAAGACCTGTTAGATTAAGCGGGAATCGCCATGATATGCACGGTCTGCCTCTGCCAATAATAAATTGATTAAAATGATAAAATGATATCTGTGAACTTGTAAATTTGAGTTGCTCAGAAATTGGTTATTGGTTATCGAACCATTCAAAATCAAATTTAAGCTTTTTCCATTATCTTGACAATTGAACTTTGTTACCTTGTTGGCGTCACTGTTAGTCTTGTCCCAGATAATAGCAAGCTAGCGCATATTTCGCCATGGGTTTCTTAGGTGCATTACTTAGAACTATTATAGTTTTAACCATTTTCTTTGGAGCTTTGTTCCTACTACCCGGATTACCTCCTAACACTACTTTTCCTTTTAAAGAATATGTGTAAGTTGTAACCTTTAAGGACTTATAGGGATAATAGATCGCTTTGCGTTTGTAGTATTAAGCCTCCTAGAGAACTGAAGGGAACTCTGCAGCCAAACTCTTACCTCAATGGAGCGGAAAAGTTGTGGAAAGATCAGGTCCTTGGACCAGAGGGTCTTCTAGCACTTAATGACAAGATTTATACTGGTATTCATGGTGGAGAGCTCCTTCGACTAAATAATGCTGAGTCTATTCAGTCTATTACAAAAATTGGTCAACCTTGTGGTATGCAAATTATTTCCTTATATTCAATTGCCTAAGATGATGAAGATTTCCACTATAGATTACATATTTGATGATGAGCTATGTGGTTATCCTGTGGGCCTGGCTATTGATACCCAAGGAAACAATCTGATTGTAGCCGATTCATATTATGGAATATGGCAAGTTGACCTAAGCACCCAGGAGAAGACTAATTTGGTGTCGTCGCAGGAAATTCTACCTGGGAAGAGTGTTAATCGTCGTGCCAGGCTTTTTAATTCGTTAGCAGTTAGCAGTCAAGGTGACATCTACTGGACTGATTCTTTGTCCGATGACTTAGTTTTGGCACCCTTCGCTAACCCGTCGGGTCGGTAAGTTCAATTTAAGAAAAGAATAGGTTAAACTTTTAAAAAATATTTGCTCTTTTTACTTAGACTTTTCAGATACAATCGCGAAAAGAAGACAAACGAGGTGCTCCTGGATGAGTTGTCCTTTGCCAATGGCTTGGCCCTAGGTCCCAGTGAAGAATTTATAATCCTGGCCGAAACGACGGCCATGCGGCTGACCAAGTACTATCTTAAAGGATCTCGGGTGGGTCAAAGCGAAGTCTTTGTGGAGGGCTTACCTGGCTGGCCGGATAACCTTACTCCTGATAATGAGGGAATTTGGGTACCTTTGTGCGTGTCTTCAGATAGTGAGAATCCAAATTTGTTCGGCGCGCTGGCACCTTATCCTAGGTTACGATTTTTCCTTGCCCGTCTGATGGCTCTAATGCAACTTCCCTTTCGGATTTTAAACAATCTATATCCAAACGATATTTCGGCTCGTCTTTTCCACGCGTTCAATGAGATGGCCATTAGCAATGCTCCCAATCGAAGTACTGTAGTTCGTTTGGACTGGAATGGAAATATTGTAAAATCTTTGCATGGATTTGATAGAACTGCTTCTGGAATATCTCATGCTTTGGAACTTAAAGGTCACTTGTACTTGGGATCGGCATTTAACCAATATATTGCTAGAGTGAAACTACCCGATGAAATAGCAAAATCTGAAGGAATCAAAACTAATTAGTATGAGATTAAACTTAAAAACCTAAGTCGCTTTTCCTAATGCTATTTGTTATTGGCTTTATTCCTGCTACCCGGATTACCACTTCCTTTCAAGAAGTATATGTAGCTGGTTATTTTTAGTCCTTCCCATATACATATGTATATAACAGTGTAGTCTCTTAGAGAACTAAAGAGACCGTTTCAACTGAATTTTTACCTGAATAGTGCAAGACATTTGTGGAAGGTTTAAGTTTTCCCACATGAGAGCCTTATATGGCCAACTTTAAATAAATATAACCAGATCAGAAATCCATTTATAAATACGCAAAATAACTAAAATTTTATATATATTTTTTAAAGAATTTTAGAGTCGAGGAACAAAAGAATGCTGATTTTTGTGGTGAAATTGAAAATAAAATTATTTTAAAAAATTATAATCAATTTCTAAAACAGAGTAATTCGATTTTTAAGGAATTACAAAGATAAATTTAATAAATATAGTATTTAATCACAACGGATCCAGTTTCATTATGTTGATATATTTTGTAAAATATAGGTAAGGAGCAATTGCACAGAACATAGATGGTTGGCTTTTTTGTCTAGCTAACAATAAAACATATTCTATTTAACTACATGCATTCGTTTCGTTTCACATTTGATATCGATTGCGGAATGTGACAACGAGCAAGAGCCCAAAGGTCCTGTGTTAAAATCTACATAATATAATTTAAAACATTTCTAACAAACACGCACACATTTAGACGGGACATTCACACACTTGACAGATCAATTTAGTTATGTATAAATACATGTATAAGGGAATATAGCATATAACATCTAAAAGAAAAAAGTAATAAGTGGATATTTCTAAGCAATTTTGTGTGTGGAGATCCAATACTGTTATTTTGAATCTTCTAAAGAATCTTAGAAATGACCAAGAACTACTTTCAGCGCTTAGAATTCTATTAGATATATGGAATATGGAATTCAATCAATTTGTTATTGGCTACGACCGAGTCTAGTTCAAGAAGTTAAGTATATCCTGCTGGGAAAGTGCGTTGAGGTTCTGGTTATCCGTTGGCAGCAGCGGCTGTGTCTGCGGTTGAAGCGTGGGAGCTTGGCTGGGTTTTCCCAGAAGTTGCTGCTGTTGATGCTGCTGGATGCTGTTCAGACTATAGTTAGTTGGATAAATGTAGTTAACTGTAGGCTGTTGCAGCGTGTACATATTGGCACCGTTTGTGTTGCTGGCCTTGGGCGCTCCAACAGCGGATCTTCCACCAGCGAAAGGATCTAGGTCGTCCAGCGAAAATGAATTGTTGTTGCTAGCTTGCGGCGAGGCCAGTTGATGGTTCATCACGAGGGGATTCGCACTATGCCAACCGTTGTTTGACTGCATCTGCGTAGGAGCAGGTACCGCAGCAGCTGCCACTGCATTTGCCCCCAAACCAGTTAGGTTGCTCTGCATCATTGTGGAGAGTATATCTGGCCTTGTTGCTGGCGGTGCCGTCATTGTACTGTGCGATATTCTGGAATAACAAAAGCGTTTCTTGAATTTCGTCTGCGTTTCTTCAGTTCCATCTTGATTGATTCCTACTTGAGCTGTTCCCTAGCCTTTACTGGCGCCAGAGGAGCGGCGGTGGCTGCTTTGGGCTGGCCAACATTGAAGCCGGAGAACATGTCATCGTTGATTTTATTGCCATTGCTAGCACCATTGGAACTCTCTAGTTCACTGGCCAATATTTCGGAAGCATCTTTTGGTCTGTTTGGAACGATAATTTAGATTGCATTTGTTGAACAATATTGAATTATCTTACTTATTGTCTCGCTGTATGGTAGATAGTTGCTGAAGTTTCTCACGCTGCTCCTGTTCCACTCGACCTAACATCTCTTTGATTAGGGCTATAATCGTGTTGAATTGAGCAATGGTAAGGCCGTTCTCCACACTTAAGGGCACAAGGTAGGGAATACACTTATGCGCCATCACGTCCTTAGTAATACCCAGTTTTGTGTTGGTCATTGCGATTTTATAGATACCTAATAGGGTCAGACGAAACAAATCAATTAAGCTTATAGCATAAACTTTTGTAAATAACATTAAAATCTCACCGATAATTCCCATTATGATAGCAGGTTCGCGGCTTTGAATCTGCTGCAAGAAGGGCAGAATCTCGTCTAAAACCAACCACTTGTCGAGGTTTTCCAAGAGCTTGCCTATGGAAATAAGACAGTTAACTTTCACCGACACATTGCTGCTTTGCAGGCACAATTTCTTGATGCGTGGCAGCACCGAGTTCTTCATTGCGTTGTAGTCAATCAGAGTGGAGAATGTTGGAAGCACTGCCAGGCAAAGCTCCTGGATTTGGGGCATGTCGCATTCCAAAGAGCGATACAGCAGAGGCAGCACACTCTGTTTCACCTCTTCGGCTGGCGTCAGCTTAAGCAGCAGATCCATTTTTTGCATAAAAATCAACAGGATCTGGATGGGATCCGTTAGCTTAAAGATGGGTTTTAAGTGGGGAAGGATGTGGTCGCAATACTCCCGCTGGCTGCTCATCTCGGCAATGAGCAGAACGTTTGGCAGAACGAACGGTATCATCGGCGAGTTGACGAACTCCTTCACAAGATAGGGAAGGATCGAGTGCAAATTAACGCGGTGCGGGAGTGTGGGTATAATCTGAGGCAGCCCCTTGTAGAATTTTGACTTCTGTAGGTTGTCCCACTGGTATAGCGAGTCTAAATAGCTGAGTGTTTTAACCCCAACGTCCTGGAAGTAAGCGATCTGCTTTAGTTCATGCAGCTTTGGTCGCAGATTGGCACTGGGATGCAGCAGCGCTTTGAGGCTCTCAGTCAACTCGCTGGGTACTGCATTCATTGGGGGGTACTTTCGTTGGTTTAAATCATTCGCGTAGCGTCGAAAGCTGCTGTAATCACTGCCAAACGTCTTCAGCGGTTTGCCGGCATAGATGGTGAAGATAAGTACACCTAAAAAGAACACATTTTTATCAATTTGTTTCCAAATGTTATCTAGTATCTACATTATTGCGGAAGCATATAAACATTTATCTATTTTTAAAAGGATTATGCTGTCTTATTGTTGACTTTTCGATATGTACAATCAATGCAAAAAAAAAAAAAATGACTCATGAGCAAAATATGTGCACTGACAAAAATAGAATTTGAAATGGGTGGGAATTTATATGAACAAATTACTTACCCAACGAGAAGAGATCGCTGTCTGGGGTGTTAATACTATTTAAAGCCAACTCTGGTGCCGTATACTCTAAACTGGGTTGCGCCAAGACGTGCAGCGAAGTAGTGTATTCCCGGAATGGCCAGTGAGGCGTGCCATCCGTGGCTGGCTGGTTGGCAATGCAAAAATCAAAGCCGAAGAGCTTCCAACTCCTGTTCTTGTTGATTACTATAGTCTCGGCGCTGATGTTGCGGTGCACAATCTTGGCGTCTTGGTGGAGGAATTGCAGGCCATCGAAGAGCTGCAGCAGACCGTGTCGGATCTCTACGTCATAAAGTTTCTTTTCAGAGCGTACATTGTCGCCCACAACATTGGCCAGTGAGGCGAACACCGGCTCCGTGGCAAAAGCTAGAGAGTCACGGCTCTCCTCCAGCGGATGTTGTACAGTTAGCACATGAGGATGCCGAATCTTAGTCAGTTGTTGGACCCCACGGCGCAGTGTTTCCAGCATTGTCTCCCTATCATCTTTCGACCAGCGCTCCAGGGACTTCTTCTCGAATACGAAAACAGACACTTCCTGTTTGGTGCTCTTCTTGTGGCCATTGTACACCTTCCACATCAGGCCTGTTCGGTAGTGATAGAGATTGCATTGTTATTAGCCACAATATGTTAGATTTTGTTTGGACAAGAACTTGGTAAACTTACCAACTCCGGCGGTGCACACCTGTTCCAGCACTTCGTACTCTCGCGTCACATTGTTCCCAGGCAAAACACCGGACAATGTGGACACCGTCTGCACGGCGGATGAGTAGAATTTGTTTATCATGTCCATCCTGGCCAAAAATTGCCAGAATTTGCAGATTTTAGTGCAAAATTCTTTTGTTGTCGAATCGATATCAGGGATGCAATATTTATTGGAGATGGCACAGTGGAAGGTAAGATAGTAATCGATATTTATAAGAATGTGTCAAATTAAAAAACAATTGTAAGCTTTTACATGTAAAATGTATATTTACATAAAATTTAAAATTTTAATGTACATGTAACGGTAATATAAACCGATAAACAGGTATTTTATTCGTTGGCGGTTTTTTTAAACTTCCGTGTTCAAAATAATCAAAAATATCATATCATTTTAATAAGAATGGTTAACGTATGGAAATAAGTCCGTGTCAAAATGTGCTTTCAAAAACATTCAGAATATTGTATTGATCTGGCTTCGGTCACACTTTAATAATGTAAGCGATTAAACATTACTATTCTAAATAAAGAGCTTTAAATTATTGCGACTGAGAAGTAAAGTAATCTCCGTAAAACTGACGTCATCTTAGCGAACGAAACGAAAGGAATTTAATGAAATGGATGTGTATTTAAATGACAAGACTTCCTGCAACACGAATAAGGGGAATTCCCCGGCTTATGAAACAGGGATGACTACATCCGCTCCCCCTTCCGGCAATCTAAAGGTTCACAAGCTTCAGAACACATGGATCCTGTGGTTTATAAACACCAATCCGAATAAGTCGTGGAAAGACATGATACTGAAGAATGGCAGTTTCAATACCGTAGAAGATTTCTGGAGCCTATATTACCGCACCGAACCACCCTCCAAGCTTAAAAACGGCTCTGATTATATGCTCTTCAAGGAGAATATTCCCCCCATGTGGGAGGATCCGGTCAACAAGAACGGTGGTCGCTGGTTGATCAGTATTAATCAGAACCTATCCAAAAACCATCTGGATATCATTTGGCTAGACGTTCTGCTTTGCCTGATTGGCGAGGCATGCGATAACTGTGATGAAATCTGCGGAGCTGCTGTTAGGATTCGCAAAAAGAATAATAAGATCGCAGTTTGGACTAAAAATGGCAACGACGAGGAAGCCATCCTGGAGATTGGCCACAAATTGCACGAACTGGTGCGCCTTGAAGGGACTTTACAACTTCAGTACCAGCATCACTTTAAAGAAGAAATGGGCTCCGACGTGATGCATATTTTGAAGGTTTCGAAATAACGAATACCAGTTATGGGCTTTCATTTTTATTAATAATAATAATCTTTGATCTTGACTCATTATTTCACTATCTCTTTCTGTGCCATTGCAAATACCATTTATTACAAATCTAATAAACTTTAAGTATTGCAAAATTCAACTTTGAAATGATTATTAAAATTGCCTGATTTTTGGGGATACCATTTGGCAAGGCTGTTTTTGTGCTGTGCAAAACGGAACGTGAATTTAAAAAAGGCTTAATTGGTAATTATTTTTGTATTGTTTGTTTTAAATTACGATTACGATATTGCGATGGCTGCGGAAATTCTCTTGGTGGTCTCAGAAACAAAGATTTAATAATCGCATTTGTATTCCACAGATAAATCCAAATGTTTTTTTTTTTAAATGAGCACTGGAATACAATATCGTTTACTCTTATTCTCAGTAAAAATACCTTTAAGACTTGATTTATATCGGAAACTGTATAAGAAAATTGATTTGCAATTTATTTTTTTTGAATTTCAAAACAACTGGATGTAATGGGCAGAACTACTAACTATCTTTCAGATCCTCCACAAAGGTGAAGTACACATTTGTGGCCGCTTGAGGCTTTTTGTTGAACACCCAGTCGATCAGCAAGAGATATTCCCCAGTGGGTATTGGAGTTGGCAGCTTCTCAGATCTCAGATAAAAGTTCTTAACTTGTTGCAAGCCCTTATATAAAAAATATTATATATATTTATATATTTTCTACATTTGATTTTCCTTACTCACCACATAGGGACAGGAGTGATTTATCGTTGAGTACTCTTTGAAAAGGTCCCAAACAATGCGTATTAGGGCATTATTTCTCCGCCTTATAAACTGACAGCCATCAAAATTGACGCTATAGAGCCAGGGCTTGTACCCATTGGCCCTTTTCATCAACTGGGCCTTTACTATAACATTGTGAACCGGGTGAAGCAGGTTGGCATCGACATTAAGACAGACTTTATTCCGACTCACAGCTCGCAAACGACAGAGGCCGAATTCCACCCAGGATTTGTTGTATGACTCACAGACGGCATTGGTCATTTTGAAAATAACAGCTTCCTTGAAAAATAAAATATAATATTAAAGATAATTGACAGAAACAGAACATGTTTTTACACTTTGATAATGTTGAAACAACATAAATAGCGGATAAATAACCAGCACACTCCTCATGGCTTCGCTGCTAATGGAAAAGTGGCGAAAATTCTACGAAATTTTCTCGTATTTGGCTTTCACAGTAAATTAGATACTCGTGCCTGAGCAAATAATTATAACATTATTATTTCAGCATTTGTAGATTAGCGGGTAATCAATCAATTTCTGCCTCGTTAATTGACTACCTCATAGTTATGACACTTTACAATGTTTGTTCAGTATATTAAATTTATGTGCCTTTTTGGGTCCACTGCGCGTTTGAGTTGACTTTGAAAAATGCTACAAAATGCTCTGCTAGACCCTGTAGACCCTTCATTTCATAATCTATTCATAAACTTAATCCCACACAATTGCGTTTCTATCATAACAATTGCCTTGACTAGGTATTTGGAACTGACCTTTGGGCCACTCAGGGAGTAATTAATTTTTAAGAGTCTCTTCGATTTGGTCACAGTGCGTTAACTTGGCTTTTACTGCCGGTTAGTTGAAGCCTCCTCACTTGTCTGCACTTCGGCATTGACGCATGAAGAGCGCTTCCTCATTTTCTTCATAGGAATATATGGAAATAAATATATAGGCAAGCGGATCCTTAGCTAAATGCCTGCGTGAGTATTCTCTCAATTGATGAAAGTCAAACATTATTAGATTCGGTAAATATGCAATTGACTAACACTTAACTTTGAAGTCAAAGTCGGAAGTCAAGCGCACGCTAAGTCTCGGCTCTGCCATAGGAAAGTTCTAAATTCTACTCCCTCACAATCAAGTAGATTGATCGCTTATAGGAACCAGGGGTATATATGATTATTATATCTTTCATACGATTTAACAGATGTGTATGCCATTTCTCGGTGTTTCCAAATACCATTTGAATACCGGTGACTGAAATCGTGTAATAAACAAACAAAATTTTTACTACGTGCCATTATATTGTCAATTCAGCAAACAAATTGACGTCAGCAATGTGTCTGACTTCTATTTTAAATTAAATCGTAGTTAAACTGCAAGGAGTGCATCGTATCTAATTTCCATTTTAAATTGTGTTACTTTAAACGAAAGGAATGAATGAGCCCCCGGTATCTGGTAGTCGGAAAACTCGGCTATTGTCTACGGCTCGTACCTGTTTTCATTAATGGCCTGACTGGCGGCGACTCGTAGTTCAGTCAACACCTGTCAACGGGCCCAAAAGTCATGTCCGTGTCGACGTCAGCCACTTGGCTGCTGCCCCTCTAAATCCCCCACCTCGCTGAAGCGGGCCACTTGAGATGCATTTGCTTATCCCCGAGTAGAATTAATAGATTTTTATACTTTTTGCACTCTCTGCGAAGCACACGAAACCCAATCAATAAAGCACTCGAATGCATTTAGCTGAATCGCTTTGGCGACTGCGACTTTATCCCACCTCCCTCTACTGCTGACTCCGTGCTCCCCCTGCTCCCAGATAGCCTCCAATAAAACCCCCGGAACGAAGATGTTGCTCCATGCAATTCGGCGAGTTGTTGTTTGCACGATTTGTTGCCGTGGCCGACCGTCTTTGAACCCGCTCTGAATTTCAATGGATTCCGTTCATCCATGTCCATGTGTGTCTTCCGATGTGTGTGTATTTGTGCAGCCAATGTGTTGGTAATTCTGCGTTCTACCGTGACTGATATTTCTATACTCTTGATAGGGCATTTTATTTTTTCCTAGAATGGTGAAATTGCCCAAAATATTCATTGTCAACGTTACAAGCTGATATTGCTAAGTATGTGGGAAATTTCTCATGAATGCTGTTCTAATTTTAACTTTTTAACCTTTCAATTTAAATAAAGGCATTTTGTTTGTCTTAGCAATTAGGAGGTAAGTTACTTGGTCTCTGTAGATGACTGAGATAGAAACATTAAGTCAGAGAGAAGAAAATCTTAAAAATCTCTTACTTTCAATAAGTTTAATTTAATTTAATTTAATAGAGTAAAGTGAAGTAACTCTAATATTTAAATTAATTTTCGATTCAGTATCATGTATATTTATGTATTCATGTATATTTTATTCAAGAAAAAGCTAGGGTATCCATAGAATCAGCCTCCAAAGTTCTTATTTTTATGCCATAAGAACATATTGGAGACGGCGGCGTACGCTGCGATGCGTTGAGTCATAAAATAAATCAAGGAGCCCGACACCGGAGTCAATAGTAAATCACGGCTGAAACGGCAAATTACCAGACACTAGCCCTCTCATCATCGAGCCTCCTCGAATAATTATGCGGTGACGCGACGATTTTCCATACCCCATAGTCCATAGTAATCCGTAATCCGTATTCCGAATTAGCCCTGGCAATTACCTTTCGGATTTGTAGCTACTAGACTTTGACTTTGACTTTGATTTCTTGTGGATGTTGTTTTTGTGTTTTTGTTTGCTTGGCGCTATTTGCTTGTCGATTTGCTAGAATATCGTATGGCAAAAACCCGAATGACTTAGCAATTTGCTTAGGCTATTATCGCGATGATGGAGCTAGCCAGTTTTGGGGGTGCAACCATTTAGATGGATTCGAGATTTCGGGCCGGATTCTCGGCGAGCGACGGTGAAGGTCAACTTTCGTTTTTTTTTTTTTTGTCTCGTTTATCGCTCCACTTTATAGGGTTCTTAAAATCCGGTTGCGTTTATTGCAGTTCGACTGTTTGGCTAAGCCACATGGTTTTTGGCCATACGGTTCCGTCTTGGCGATGCATGTTATTCCTGTTATAAACTTCATACATAAAGAGCACAAAAGACCAGACTAATTTATAGAGAGAATATTAATTGAAAGCTCTTTAAGTGATCACCTTGAAAATGATTTTAAATTGAACTGCAAAATAGTGGATAGAACTAGCATATTAGTGGAATTTTGAAACGGTCAAAAAAGTTCTCCTTTGACATTTGCCTATTTGCTGCAGATTATTATTAAACTTAATCTAGGAAGTGTCATTTGTCATGACTATCCATTTCTAATAATTGAGATGTGAACTTGAACCTACTTAGTTCTCAATTGAAAAACCCAGTGTGAAAATCAGCTTTCGGACTTCATCTTAATAATTTAATTTTAGAGCGTTGTCTCATTTAAACTTTTTGACCCCTGTTCAGTAACTTGACACGTTTTCACACTTAGTTGACTGTGCAAATGTTACCCTATTTGTTTACTGCAAACTATACGCCTACAAATTAATCTTTTTTTTTATATAATTGAAGTAAACAATTTATTTGAAATCTCCGTAAGTGAAATAGTATTTAAATGGAATTACACAACGATAATGAAGGCATCAAACAATCTGCAAGCCATTGTGATGCCAAAAGTGAAGTAATTAAACATCAAAAGCGAATCATGTCATTGTCAAGTGTTTGAGCAGATCTGAACAAGATCGGATCATGCCGGCAAAGTGTGCACTTGAGTGGCTTTTGATGAGGGCACCATTAATATGCAATGACTGATTCGCAAATATGGCTTTATTATTTTGTTTTTTTTTGGATCTGTCATTAATGGACCTTTTGTTTCGACTTGGTATAGCATTTATGCGAAAGATTTTCGAGTTTATAGACTCTGCGTCGTCTGGCTTTGTTTGGTTTTGGTGTGAGAAGTTAGATACTGCGTCCAGATACAGATGGGATCGGCGACAAAACATGCTGGGAATTACGTGATTGATGGCGGACCTGCGATTACCACAGAACAGCTAAAAAGTACTGAACTCAGTATAGAATATATTATAAATGCTGGGATATATGCGAAATCAGTGAAATCTTGTCGCGTCTAAAAAGGAAAATCACACAGCAAATGCAAAATTTATGAGCGAACTACGTCGAACGACGTCTCCGGGCGAACGGAGCAAGAATACCAAGTGGGCTGGGATTTCGATTGGGATTCGGATTGGGATTGGGATTGGGATTGAGCGGATGTGGACTGCACTGGGAGGATGACTCAGACGGAGGTCCGTGTAGGTTCAGCCCTGTCACTCAGATCAAACTATAAAGAAGGGGTTCAGGTTCGTCGGCTGACTCTAATTGCATTGCAAGGCTGCCGAGAGCTTTGCAAATAATTACTTCATTTTCCATCCACAACTTAGGGTCAGTCATAAGTAATAAGTAATAATCATAAGTTTTCATCACCTAATTAGCAAAGGAATTTAGCACGAAAAATATATATATAGGGCAATGGTACAAAGTTAAGTTTGTGAAGGCTACCTTAGTAGGTAGTTCTGGGAATTATATTCAAGTTTGATAAGATTTCTGCTTACTATCTGTACCTATTATTGGCTAAAAACCGTTTTAAAGAAAAGTTCTTTTAAGTTGGCATATTTTGCTGAGAACACTGCGTATAAGTAATATTTTGATAAATTTGACAACTTCAGAAAAGCACGGAATTGAAAGTTGTTTATTCTGTTTCCTGGTGTATTATCACTTGTTTATCAAATTGTTCACTTAAAATGTTTCCGAAACAACAAAGTTTCAGATACGCAAATCACTCCACTTATTAGAATATATTACGATCTAGCATTTCAGAGACTAGAGCTTTTTTAACCCAAGCGACCAGCTCTTAAGTGGAGTCCAATGCATATCTCCTTCTTTAATAGCGCTGGCTTTACGAGGCTCCATAAAATTGGATCATAACATTCGCGCTGGCTAAAACCGATGCTCAGTTGCGGTTAGTTACATACTTCAATCGGCAGTCCAAACTGCGCCACTCAATTTGACTTTTTTAGGCGCTGCCGCTGCCGGTGCTGTTACTGCCGCTGAGCTTGGCTTACCGCCCACAAAACACTGCAGTCGCCGTCGCAGTCAGCGCCGCTGCTGAGCCACCGAACCGCCGAACCACTGAGCCGCTGAGACGCCGATGTCAGGTGTTGTGGTTTTTGCAAGCCGCGTTCGAGCTGAGTCTGTTTTCGTCTGCCTGGCAGCGCGGTTCTGGAACGCGTAACGTTCGTTTCGTCTCGTCTCCTCTTGTCTTGACTTGTCTTGTCTCGAAAAACAGATTTTCCAACTCGGGACTCAAGTCGGTTTTCGTATCGATTCGGTTCGGATCGTGGTGCGTCCGCTGTTTTTCAGCCTGTTGCAACTATTTTGGAATCGCTCTTTTCGATACTCTTGTGCAACACTGCGTGCCGCTCTCAAAAGCGCGTCAAAGTATTTGAAGAAAATAAAGTATATTTCGAAAGTGGTCAGTCAATACAAAAAATATTAGAGATATCCCTGTGCCAGAGAGAGGAAGATTTGTGTGGCAGATTAAAGAGCCCTGTAATTAGCCAACAATTTGTCGAAATCCAATCTGTGGGCGTGGGATCTGTGCCTGTGCAGCCAGCAATTCGGTGAGTCTTGAATTACATGGGATTATGGCCAATCTGCCAATCTACCAATCTGGCAATCTGGCGCTCTGGTACTCTGGTAATCGTATGACAAATGCCATTACGTGTGCACACGGCAATAGTAGTGGCTTTCTAAAAAATACCCAAAACGGGTTGGATTCGCTCCGCAGGTCCAGGAGGGGCCGACAAAAAGCTCATGGCTAACACACAGGCATTCACGAAAAAATGTGTGAAATTTCATTGAATTTCCCAAATTTTATACACAAACACAGCAATTGGGAAATAATTCATTGTTTTGCCAATGCAATGAGAGTTACGGCTGCCAAAGAATCGATAATCACCATTCGGATTATTATATTACCCCCGTGGTCTTTGTGTACTCCAAACGGGTTTGCATTTGGCCAAACCCAAAAAAAGTAATTGATTAGATTGGGAAAAACATTTATTACTGGATCAAGAGATTTTCGATCAATATTTAAATTACCATTTAGCATGTCACTAATTCAACAGAAATAATAATATCTCTGACTTTTGGTTTTACAATTCTGTGAATAATTGTTTGTGGGCTCCCCATCTATGCTGGCCATCGAATACAAAAAAGGAGAATGAAACATTTTCAATTTTGAAATTTACTTATTTGCTTAAAAAGATATCAGCTTGATATATAATTCATATCGTTCAGTATTTATATACCTCCTCATATATTAAGGAAGACCCAATGACAAGGCTAGGACATGGAATTAAATATTTAAAACATTTTAAAGAGCTTTTAGTGAAATGCCTGTGGGCTTTAATATTCATATTTATTGTCAAATTTTAAATTGGTTTAAAATGCACACAATGCCAGAGCAATGAATTAAATATGTATGTTGAAAATGTAAGTCGAACTTAAGTGCTGAACATTTTCCTTATTTTTTATAAACTATTTTAAATCCTCTTTTAATGAGTGGATCAAACAAAGGCTGAATTTAAATCCTTTAAAGGATTTTAAAGAGCAAACCCAAAGGCCTTTAAATAAATATTTTTATTGGCCAAATTTAAATGGCAACTCACATTTCCCATACAAATTGCGATTGAGTGATGGAGAATTTCAAAAATCTATTTGTGAATTTTCACAATTAATGACTCTCAAGGATTTTGGCTCAATTAAAGTTTCTAAATGTCTGTGCAGGAAAAACTCAGCCAACTGACAACTCTTTAATTATGGCACGAAAAAATGGTGCTAAACTTCATGTCATAGCGATTCAATTAATTCGCAATTTATCAAAATACTCGTAGCCGGGGCATTGTCAGTGCCAGGGCTTTTTGATTCGGCCAAACATATTTCATTTGTCCACCACAAACAACTCGGATCCGTGGATGGGTGGGTGGCTCGGCTCCTAGTCAGTGGACCGACAAGGGGCGTCAAGTGGAAAATAATCGATGATGTGCCCGGGCACAATGCAAACATTGAATCAAAGTCAAATAGCATTAAACTTTTTGAACTTGCGAGGCGGGCCCCGAAAAAAAAAATAAAAATGAAATAATAATAAAAGTTTGCCCGCCTTCTGAGAGGCGTGAAAGCGCACACAAAAAAGGTGGGGGTTTTTTCGGGTTCTAAGGGTTTTTCGGAATCCCAAGCTGCAGTTTGGGTTCCCTTTTCTATTTTTTTTCAATTTTATTTTTTTTGAATAAGCGCAGCGTAGCGCAAATATTTGACAAATCCCGCGGAAAGTCTGCTTATGTTGTCACCTCGCTTCGTTTTTCGCCTTTTTCCAAACGACAGGATGAGGACTAGGATTAGGATGAGGATGGGCTAACTGTTGGGATGGGATTTGCAGTGTGACTGGCACTGGGCCAGTCATACTGATTAGGATTGCACCGGAAGACAGTGGCATCAGTCGAGAACTTTTAATGTTCGACATTGTATTTGCATGTGAAAATCAAAAACTGCATTTGCATGCATCTATCGCGGTGTAATTTATATTTCGCACTTTGCTTCATTGTTGTTGTTTTTGTTGTTGTTTATGCAATTTGGCGAGTCGCCTTGCGAATGCCAAAGGAAAGCAAATGCCCCAGACTTCTGGCTAACGAGTGCAGGCGCGTGTCTGTATCTGTATCTGTATCTTGTGGATATGGAAACCCCTTATACGTCCATACCCCCTTCTATACTCCACCTGGCCACCAGGTGAAGGCGAACGTAAATGCGCCAATTTGTATGCAAGCAGCATTAATCGGGGGGTAATCCGGCAGCGATGCATTGCAGCGCGGCGATGCCAAAGCAAGAGCCCAGAGCCACTGGGTTTCGACCTGGCCAAGAGGGGCTAGCATTACGTGAGATGTGCAATTGCACGAAATTGATTTGCAATCGATAAATGTGCGAATATTGCTTCTGCTGCGAATTAGCAGGCTTCGAAGTTTGCAGCGCCAAAGACGCTCTTCGCTTAGCATTTTCCGAGCGTGTAAAATATGCATAAATAACTCGATGGCCACCTGACCATGAATCAAATTGGGAACATCTTCATTTAAAATGTTAAGTGGCCAAGCATTGTTGAGCGATGTTTTCACTGTATCTGAATTGGTATCTCTAGTGTCTGCACATTTTCTAACCAATAAATTCTGTAGATATTACCAAGATTAAAACTTTACAATTTTAAAGCCAAAGCTTTGAAAACATAAACCAAATATTTGACATTTACTTGACGGAAATTCATATCTCAAAACTAACATTAAAAACCAGCAATTAGCCTGATTTTTGGATAACAATACCTTTAGAGAAATCTTTATGACTAATAATTCTACATTCTCTATAGAATATTTAGTACGTTGAACATATATTTCGACATTTTCATTCTGAATGTTCATTTAATTAATGTAATTATATTTATCCAAGAACATACCTGTGCTGATGTGTTTCATATCACACTTATTAATTATTTAACCAGCCATGTAACATATAATTTTAAAATTCCAGCCGGTCGATTCGCTCACTCTGACTGACAGACAGTTAAATTTAAATGGATTGGACTTAAATTATATATAAACCATTGATAAGAGGTTAACCCAAACAATGGAATTATTTACATGTTTTAATGGCATAACAGAGTTAAAGAGATTTATTATCTTTTTCTTGCTATTCAATTAACAAATTCTATAGAATCAATAGATGTTTATGAAAAATACATTTAAGTCTTAGAGAATGGCTATTTTGATCGAATTTCAGGCAAATCCAAGTCTATGCTCTTCCATCGAATTCGTTCATCGTCGGTGTACGAGTATGTGTGCCCGCTTTGTGCTGCAAAAATTGAAAAATCAAACACAAGGAAAACCACTCGAGATTCAGCAGTGCAAGCGATTGCAACATTGGTAGTAGTAGTAGTAGTTGTGGGCACTGGCAGTACTGCCAGTAGTCGTAGTAGCCACTGACAAGGTCAGCACTTTGGCTTTTATTTGGGGCCCGGCGGTTGTCGCATTCTAAGCAAATCGCTATTGCCATATAGATATATCTGTATATATATATATATATTTGTTCGATGTTGAATTGTCGAATCGTGGCCCGGCCGTAATACACGTATTAATCTTGCCTCTCTTCTTGTTAGATGTGGCGTTGTTTTTGCGGTGGCAGCTTTGCAGCTTTGACTTTGGCAGCAACAAGTGTTTAATTGCGATAAATGCACCTGACCGCCTTGAGCCTGAGACTGAGCCTGAGCCTGAGCTTGGGCTGAAACTCGGACTGGGCTTGGGCAAGGCTTTCTGGTTCTCTCAGAATCTTCGGTTTGGCCGTCGGCAATTGGCCATTTGGAAAGGTCAACACTATTCGACAAAGGCATTAAACATGAACGTGGCCCGAAACTCTGCACGTAAAGTGGTTAGCTGTTGGCTGTTAGCTTTTGACTGTGTTTGTCAACGTTTTTGGCCCAATTAAGAGCGGGCCTCATAACTTTGCCATGGCATGGCCATTTAAACATAAACCCTGGCCGTGTACATCCTGTAACGGCTTTTTAATTATGCATGTCGCTATGAAATCGTCGCTGCCCGGCTAAAAGGTTCGCCAGCCCGGCCAACTGGGTCATTACCATGGCCTGGCTTTGATCTCCTGCTGATGGGGCCGTAAAAGACTTACTCCAACAGGTTATAAAGCAAGTGAATTGTCTTGAATGTAATGTGCCATAAAGACATAAATTAGAGTTTGGCCCGGAGACGATGGAGACGGCAGTTCTGAGAGTTGGCTTAGGTCGGGCACTTGCTGTCTCTTATTTAGGGGCTTTCGAGAGCACCTCTTGACCTCTCACGAGGGTTAAGTTGGCTTGTGTTGGGTTATGAGATACGGCTTCTTTGGGGTATAAACTATGGAAGGTTAACTAGAAGCTGTGTTGATTAGCTATAGGGGAATTTCCTTACTTCTGTGATTTCATTTCCTAAAATATTCTAAAATTTCAATAATCCTTATGT